AGCAGATGGCCCCGCCCCTCCCTGAGCCTGGTTCTGCTGGAGGTTTCTTCCTGTTAAAAGGGAGTTTTTCCTTCCCACTGTCGCCAAAGTGCTGCTCATAGGGGGTCATATGATTGTTGGGTTTTTCTCTGTATGTGTTATTGTAGGGTCGACCTTACACCATAAAGAGCCTTGAGGCGACTGTTGTGCTTTTGCGCTATATAAATAAAGTTGGATTTGAGCGCTTGTCGTCATGAATCGATCATGTGATCGTGACCCCGTCCGTGGACAGCAGGAGGTAAAAGTTTAAAAACGGCAGTGTGGACTTTTCTGTGTGATCAGCTGTTAATACGACACAAAGTCAAACAGGAAACTGAGGGTGAAGTCACCGCCACCACATACAGGTCGCCTCAGCAGCAGTGTGACGTTTGGAGGCGGAGCTCTGATGCCATGTACGCGGTCTGCTGACCCCTAATCACATGACAGCTTTTACTTTGAAATCCAGTTTATCCTGTTTGGAGAGTCACAAAGTGAGCGAGTTCTCGGGGTGAAGAGCGCCCCCGTGTGGTAAAGAGCTGGAACAGCTGAGAGCGCGCCAGAGCGAGTCTCACACACACAATTACATCCATGACACACTGACCTGGACACACTTAGGCTTCTGTGAGATGATTACGTGTGTGCGGCTCGCGTCACGTTCCCGTACATGCTAACGTTGACCCTGCTCTCTGTCTCCAGGTTGCTGCATTACAAAGAGTTCTGAGGGGCGGAGCTTCGAGCAGGAATCAGACTGTTTCTGTAAATACTGAAACCTGCAGAGGACCAATCAGCTGCAGGAGGCGGAGTTTGTTTTATTGTTTGTATGATGTGATTTCATAAAGACTCAAAGAGGATCCCTGCAGTTTCCTCCGTTTGTTCCAAACCAGTTTTATGAAACTCACTAAAAATCATCAAAATACAAAAATGTCAAAGAAAAAACGTTTTGTGTGGATTTGACGAACTGTCATCGTAGAAATAATGTTTTTGTTTGTCTTAAAAACAAAGTTTCATTTTGAGTTCAGATAAAATATTTTATTGATAAATAACATCGCAGTGAGCTTTAATTAAAGAGGAAGAATTTAAGCTGCAGGTTCGTAATGATTGTAAATAAAAGTCTTTTGTAGAATCTCATCACAGAAATCACTGATTAGCTCTCATCGTGTAATAAACACACACACACTGTATAATGGGTCATTATGACACATACAGGTCCGGTTGGAAGGCTGAATTCGTCGATAATAATATTCTACAGTCTGTCTCATAATTCCTCGCACAGGTGACGTCTCCACTGATCGACTGGTTGGTTTGATTTGATTACATCAAGTGAATTTAGTGATTTTTGAGCTGTTTGCCATCATTGAGCTTCGGTACAGCAAACAGCTGTCTCATGATCAGTCAGCATTGAGGAAGTTGCAGAGGTGACCAATCAGATGAGAGGAAGATAACCGTCAGACTGGATTTGCCAGCTCGCTCGCGCTGCTGCAGGAATGTCCTCGGTCCTGTCCGTCCGCCTCCTTCAGGCTGAAGCATGAAAAGCTCGCGTCCCTCCCAAAAACTCGTCAGCGCTCGCTTCCAACCGTCACGTTAACTTGGTCCTCGAGCCAGGCATCACCCAACCTGCTGCCATCACAGTTCCAGAGGTCAAAGGTCAAATTCTTGTCGAAAATAAAGTTTGAAAGATTTTTTCCTGTTTTATTTAAGCTTTTATTAAATGAATAAATAAATCTAATATTGATGTTTTCATTTCATGTTTATTTTATAACATTTATTAAATACGATTCTTTAATATTTGTTTCATCAGCTATAATTTAGATACATTTTTGTTGTCATTTCATTTAGTTTGGGTTTGTTTGAAGTCTGATGACATGATTGAAGTTATGAGAAGATCATTTTAATGTTTCTTTGTTTTTAAACTTCGGGACTGAAACATTTTTAAAAACCAATAAAAGGATTCGATCTGATCGATCGGATGTTAAAATGCGTCTGAAAGTGGGAGGAGCAACAATCTCACCCCCCAGCTGCATAAACATCCACCCACCAAACTAACCTGACCGCTTTCTGCACCTGTTGGCCCCGCCCACGCTGACATCACAGAGGAGCACTAACCAGAGTTTCAGGATCCAGAAACGCCTGACCTGACAGAGAGGAAGGTAAGAGCTTTTCCCTGTTTCACGTAGAATGATCTGGACTCACAGACTGATCTTAAATCACAGGAACAAAAACGTGCGGGTTTGGCTGTGTCTCTGATTGGTCAGGTGAGCACACCTGTGCAGGTGTTCCTGTGAGTTTGGCCTCCTGAGTCCGAGCTGCAGGTGGAGCCTGCTGTAGGTTTGATTCCAGACGTCTAACCTGACGTGAGACAACAAAATCTTTACAACCAAAGTCTGAACCTGTTTGTAATCGTGTGGCGTCTGAGCACCTGTGGAGAGGCTCACACCTGAGCGCCAGCTTTTACTTTCAGTCTGGACCAGGGCTGCCCAATCCCGGTCCTCGAGAGCTACCGTCCTGCAGCTTTTAGATGCATCCCTACTCCAACACAGCTGAATCAAATGGTTTGATTACCTCTTCAGCATGCCATCGTGTTTGGCAAAGGCCTGATAACAAGCCATTCATTTGATTCAGGTGTGTGGGAACAAGGATGCATCTAAAAGCTGCAGGACGGTAGCTCTCGAGGACCGGGATTGGGCAGCCCTGGTCTGGACTAACACTGGGCTGCAGACACGCTGATGTCTGAAAGTTTGAAGTTTCTGGGTCATGGAGAGGATCTGATTGGCTGCTGTGACGAGGTGTTTCTCTGCTTCCTGTTCCACCTCGTCGCTCACTGGACACGAGCAGCTGTGGGAGGCAGAAGTGAAGCTGGTGCTGCCGGGTTAAATCCACACAGTTAGTCTGTGTGCTGGTGGAAGAGCGGCGCCTTTACACCGAAACCAACAGCTGCCGGTTTGTCCTGACTGAGTGGGACGCGTTGGTCCTAACCCACCGGTGGCGTGCAGACACCTGACGACGTCCCCCGCCCCAGTGGAGGCGGTGTCAGGCTGGGTGGCTGACCCGCACAGACGCCCCGAGGATGGACTCGGGTTCAGATTTAGCCCAAACCGACCGAGATGTGCAGAGATGCTCTGACTGCTCTCAGGATTCAAAATTCAGATGATCTGCAGTTACATGAAGCATTTTTCACTCTCTGCTCGTTTTGACGCTTTGAAACAAACAAACCGAACTGATCACATTTTTAGACTGTTTTCATTTCTCTGGCGTTCTGCGGGAATCTGTCCGGTTACAGTCGTTTAAAATGACTCTGACTTGTTTCCATGTGCTGATCTTATCCCAGCTCTGACTCACTGCGACGCAGACCTGCTCGTGGTGAAACACGTAACAGGTGTTGATGCGTCTGAATTCTCCGATGTGCGTGCAGCACTCGGGGCACGCGCAGCCTTTTATCGGTCGCGTCCACGCTCCCACATGTTTTTACTCGGCTCTCACTTCCTGTTCTGGAAATAATGGAGGAAATTACATGGTCTCGAGTGGGGGGTTATTAAGTCGATTCGGCACAAACATGTAAACACAGAGCGTGGATCGTCCACAGACGCAGTTTCTGAGCTGCAGGTTTCATCACTCTGACCAACACTGACTGAACCAGCAGCAGAAGATCAAACTATGCTTCATGTTTGATAAACATCATCATCATCATCACTTCTGTTGCGTCCTGCACGGCGCTCTCTCTGTGCACTCAGAGACCATCAGATCTGCATTATTCTCTGCTGCTGTGTTCAGTGCTGTCGGCCTCTGACAGCAAAGCCTCATCTCTGCTGTTCACACTGAACAAATGTGAACTTCAACGATTGCTCAGCTGTGTCTGTGACTCTTCTTCACTTCAGCAGCATCAGCTCATCTTCACATGTTGATTCATGGTTTTATTTTAAATGGTAAATGGCCTGTGTTTGTATAGCACTTTACACCACATCCAGTCATCCACACATTCACACACTGGTGATGGAAAGCCACAGCCACCCTGGGGCGCACTGACAGAGGCGAGGCTGCACTGGCGCCACCGGGCCCTCTGACCACCACCAGTAGGCAACGGGTGAAGTGTCTTCGGGCCTCGAACCGGCAACCTTCCGAATACAAGGCGAACTCTCACCTCTTGAGCCACAATCGCCCCAGGTTTAAGGTTATCTGCTTTAAAAAGCCAGGCCAGGAAACTCTGCTTCATGTGTTTCTGCTTTAGCCTCAGTGACTTTGACACAAAGGCCTCTGCTGTGATGCTCACACCTCTGATCAAGTCTCACAGTGTCAGCTTGGTTTTATACACAGACACAAAATATGGAGATGAACTGATAACTGATCAGAATTAGAATATTTCTGACTGACTGAGTGAAAACTGAATCGAATCAAAGTGAATCGATACCCAGCGCTGGCCTCGAGGGTCAGCTGTGGTAAACAGCCCTGTGATTGGCTGGTGACCTGTGCAGGTGTGGCTAAGAACAGGTGGGCCGTTTAAGTCCATCCTGGTGCTGCTTCATCATCAGCGGTTTGTTTCTCTGAGGTGAGCTGGTGTGGGCTTTATACTTCACAGACGTCATGCGGACGATTCGGTTTTTATCAGGATTCCTCCGAAACTTGCCGATGGATTTGTTTTACATGTTCCGGAGACGATGAACTTTGTCTGGCTCTGGATCAGGGAATTTTTAGAAGCGTTCTTTCAGACAGAGACTGGACTTTTGGATCAGCTGCTCTCTGAATGTTTTACAGTGTAGATGTGCAGATGTTTCCAGATGTTGGCGGAGCGACGCTTTGATCCTGACGGGAATGAAATCAGCTGAAGCTCAGAGTGAAGATGAGATGAGTTTGTTTGAAATGATCTCATCACAGATGAATCGCCTCAGGCTCGCTGCTCGGCCTCTGATGAAGAGGAGTGGTGCGTCCTCGCTTTGAGAGTGATGAAGGTGAGAGGTCATCCTCTGGCTGAAGCCCCACCAACTTCTGCCTCTAGGGTGGAGCTGCTCGAACAAGCCGGAGGACCCGAACGGTTGATGCTGTTCGTCTGGAAAAGGGCACATCCAGACGAGCAGCATCAACCTTTCGGGATTTCCTTACCTGGATGACTGAGCATGAACACAAACTGGAGGATCGCGGTGACGCTGCAGCTGAGGCGCTCCTGCTGCTATCAGAACCAGTTCCTCCAGCGCAGTGACGCTGAATAAACCTGCTGCCGATCTCCTGTGACCAATCCAAACTCAGACGTCACGGAGGAAACGGGCCGAGGCGCAGCAGCCCACCCGACTCGCTCGGCTGCCTCTCCATCAGCATCCAGAACGTCCAGTTCAGTGGGAGCTCACGCAGCGTGATGCTGCAGGGCGCCGAGGCCATGCCTCTCCTCGCAGACACGCCTCTGCTTCACTCTAAACTGCAGTTTCACGTGTCGGCTTAAAAGCACAGTTTTAATCTTTTAAGGCCTGGAAGCTTCACCTGTGACCTCACGGGAACACAAAGGAGCAGGTCCCTTTAAACAGCTGGCCCCGCCCTCTCCACCTGTCCAGGCCTGAGCAGGTGTGCCATGTCTGTCCCCGGGCTCTGACTTATTGCTGGTTTTTTCTGGGTCAGCGTTCAGTGCGGTTTGGCGTGGGCATCCTGCAGGTCTGAGCAGATAAACATCGCCTCCTCATCCTCCGCCCGCTCCACCATCGCTTCACCGCAACGCTGCTTCATGGCCACCAACCTGACACCGCTGGAAAGCCGGGTGTTTGATATGCAGCAGCATCTGTGGGTGGATTTGATGATTGAAGAGCGTCGAACACCAGCAGCCTGACACCACCTGCTCCGTGTCACAGCTGTGGGAGACGCCCACAGACTCGGGTCTGCTGCTGCGCCCACAGGTCTGGTTGGTGGCCATGAAGCATCGTCATGGTGAAGCAAACCCAGATGTTCTGACTGAAGTTTATCAGTCAGAACATCTGGGTCGCCGGGCGGTGACGCTCTGAAAGGTTACAGATGTTAAAGCGCCTGATCCTAAACCCCGCCTCCTCTGTGTCCTCCTCCAGGAGCAGCACGATGGCAGAGTCGACGGAGCTGTTCACAGAGCAGGAGCTCACCTGTTCCATCTGCCTCGACCTGTTCACCGACCCCGTCTCCACCCCCTGCGGACACAACTTCTGCCAGGTGAGTCCACCTGCAGGTGTGAGCACAGGGGCGCTGTGCGTGGAAGCTGCTGCTGAAGGTTCACCCAGCTGTAATGATCAGGAAACGTAAACAAATCTGTGATCATTGACGTGTTTCTGCTGCTCGGCACGTCCTGAAATGCTTCATTTGTACAAGCTGCTCTCGATTCTGAGTGTTGTTGTTGTTGTTGTTGTTACTATGACGACGATGGTGTTGATTAGCTGCTGTTTTTGGCAGGTCAGGTATTCGTCCTGCTTTACAGCCTTTTAAGAACTAACTAATCACAGGGTCTGCAGCAGTGTTAGTAATGCAAACAGAAAACTACCTGGGGGTGCGTTCAGGTGCAGTGGGTTACTGGTGCGTCCTGTGCCCGCAGGCGTGTATCGGTGGTTACTGGGCGTCCAGTGCCGTGTCCACCTGTCCACTGTGCAAACATCAGTTTGAAGGACGTCCTCAGCTCAGCATCAACAAAGTCTTTGCTCAGATCGCAGAAAAGTACAAACAGACTCACTATGCACCGTTACCGTTGCCCTTCGGTAATGGGGCGCCCGGCGCCGCGATGGCGGGCGCCATGAACACCAACCCCTTCCTGACGCCTGAGCCATCAGTAGCTCAGGCGAACGGGGACGTAGTGTGGTGCGACGTTTGTACGGGAATCAAACAGCCCGCCGTCAGCTCCTGTCTCACCTGCACCGCCTCCTACTGCACTGAGCACGTGCAGCCACATCACACCACGCCATTCTACGCCAAACACCCCCTGATGGACCCCCAGGAGGCCCTGAGGGGCCGCACCTGCTCCGTCCACCGGCGCCTGATGGAGGTATTTATTTTTCTCTATGATTGCTTGATTTGATGTTTATGTAACATTTAAATATTTGAATGTTTTTTTTATTTTAAAATGGTCAGTTTCAGATGTTACAATAATTTTATATATTTTGAACAAATTCAAAAATAATTAGTTTTATTTTAATAACTGGTTTTATTTTATCATGTAAGTAAAACTTTTTCATATCAGTTCATGTTCTGCATTGATGAGCGGCTCACCTGTGCAGGTGTACTGCAGGACGTGTGAGAGCTGCATCTGTGCCATCTGCGTGCTGGAGGAACATCGGATGCATAAAACTGTCTCCGTGCAAACTGAGAGGCTCAGCAAGCAGGTACAAATATCCCAGATTATTCCCGGGAACGCCATTTATTAAAGTAATTTGATTCTGTTTTTTATTTCATCTCATTTTGGTTGACTGTTATGTTTGTTAATGCTGCTCATTACATTTCATTACAATTCATCATTTAATTTATTATTACATTTATTATTTGTTGTAAATTTGTAAATTTTATTTGAAATTAATGAATTTTTGCAATTTTTTTTTTGTTTCTTTTTGATGAAAAACAAAGATTTTAAAATGATGAAAAAACATTCTGGAATGAAAATAAATCCTTGGAGATGGATACAAAAAGTAAATTCATCGTTTGGTCCAAAGTGATTTTTGTTGTGGCTCTTTGACTCGACCGTGTCCGCCTGCCTCTTCAGAAACAGGTGTCCAGGACGGAGCAGGAGATCCTGAACCGGATCAAGGAGAAGGAGATCCGTGTGACGGAGCTGAAGAAGAAGCTGGACAGCCTGCAGGTGACTCACCTGTTTGCTCCTTATGTAAAAACCTGGCGGGGCGGGTGGAGCCTGTGGAAGACGATGGCGTTGTCGCTCTCTTCTCACCAAACATCTGAACCCGTCTGTGTTTCAGAGCCATGCTGACAGAGAGCGCGGCGAGGTTGAACACCTGCTGAACGACCTGTCCGGCTCGTTGGACCAGATCCGGTCTCATGTGGTGGGCGGGATCGTGACCCAGCTGGATGCTGTGATGACAAAGGGGGACGGGATGGTGAACCGCCTGGAGGAGGAGCTTAGCCAGCTGACAGAGAGGAGAGCCGCGCTGGAGGCGCAGGCTACCAGTCAAGATCACATCGCCTTCCTGAAGGTGAGGACGCCTGCAGTCACCGATCCCAGAATCACAACAGAGGCCTGCTTCATCACCCCTCTTCATCACCCCTCTTCCTCCCTCAGACATACGAGGCGACCACGGCTCCTCTGGCCGAGGATCTGCAGGCCCAGGCGGATGACGACTCGCAGCTGGTGCTCCACTTCCATCTGGGCGAGGTGAAGCTCGCTTTGTCCGAGGTCAAGGAAAAGATGGAGGAGATCCGGACCGGGGAGATCCGCTCGCGAGGACTGCGAGGACCCCGAGGATCCCGAGCGGACTCCTGTGAGTTCCAGATGTTACAGCACAGTCTGCACATGTTGGGTTCCAGATGTTTCCTCTGAGTCGTTTCTTTCACCTGTTTCAGTTTCAGCCGGTGACATGATGGCGGCCGAGAGCATGCTCAGTCTGAGAGCCAGCACGGCCAGTCTCAGGAAGAGCCAGTGGTCCCTGAAAGGTGAGAGGTCGGAGGTCACTTCCTGTATCTACCTGCAGGTGTGCCACAATCCGATCATTCCAAGCTCCTCTGTGGAGCCCTGCAATAAAGAGTGACTCTATTCTACTCTATTCTCCTTACTGAGGGAAGAATTTATCCAGTCAGAATAAGCCAGAGAAGCGAGCTCCGTCAGAGGCAGTTACGGCCACGGTGTAGGATGGAGCGCTGTTGCACACACTCAAGACACCACCCACGAAAACACACGCTGATTATAAATGTACATTATCATCACCTCACTGCACTCTGTGTACATATGAAAAAGGAAACTATGGAGCGGTTCTTATATAGCCCTGGTCTACTCTGAGCACTCAGAGCTTCCCGTCCTCGCACGTGCACACATGTCCTCGCACGTGCACACATGTGGACATGAGTCCACACATGGACACTCTGATGGGGTCAGTATCATGCCCAGTGATATTTGGCACGATTGAACCACAAACCTTCAGATCAGCAGATGTGCATGCGCAGTATTTTGGCTCTTTTTGTACTTCACTTTTCTTCCTGTGCCCTGTGAATGTCCACAGTGTCTCTGTCTCTGCTGTGGGAACATGTTGCTTACCTCGACAGGTTGACTTGTTTAGGGAAGTGCTGCTCATCCCACAATTTCTTATTTTGAGGAAATGAGTTACAAGTTGTGGGGCTTTTATTGTGAAAGAATAACTGAGTGTTTTCCTGTCTACTTTCAGACCTAAAGAAGAGCAAGCAGGTGTCAGGTACGTACCTGTGTGAGTGTGCAGCAGACATGGATGCTCACCGTCAGCCTTTCAGACACCGATAACGAAATTATGAATCAACTCAAAGATGACAGATTTTTTTTTAAATGCTGGTCGTTTTTAAACGACACAAAGATGAAGTGAAAGGATAAAAACGCTGAGTTGTTAGAGAAGCTGTAGCGGTGGGAGGTTTGTGAAGAGATGAGAGCTTGTTTCTGATTGCTGATGAAATGTGTTCGTTTGTTGTTGCAGGATACAAGAAGGCCCGACTCTACATGGGTGAGGTTTTCAGCGTTTTGGTTTCTGGGTGATTCGGTTGATGCAGGTCGGGTTTGGTTATAACTGCATTCACACAGACAGACAGCTGCCAGCTAATGCTGGGCAACATCCAAGTAAAACACTCTGGCTCCGCCCCCCAGATGCTCTCTTACCATAGTAACCTCACAGCAGCCACGTTACTTGTCACATGATCTCATTAAACAGCCCAAACACGGTCCAGAGGTCCAGCTCAGGTGAAGCTAGCCACCTGTATCACCATCCACCTTTCAGTCACAGAGGCCACACCCCCTAATAAAGCACATTTTAAATGATACACAAACAGTTTCAGGCTGTAAATGTTTGTTTCTGCTGTAAGTTTGAACATGGGGGCTGACTCACTGCTGCCTCTACTGGAGGAACTGCAGGTTTAGCCTCATGGTGAGGTCTTCACATTATATATTTCTAAGCAAAGATACGTAATAGTGCTTCATTGGATTCAGCGTTGTTACATATATTTGATTTCTGTACTGTAGAGGAGCTTTGCATGATTCACAGTTCAAAATAATCCTCCTGTATCAGATACTGGGCCTCAGCGCAGGTCCTCTCTTCATCCTCTGAACGTTGTGATTGGCTGCCCTTCATAATCGTCAGATGGGTTCAGCTCATGTGGTAGAATCGACCGTAAAGGGGATGTGCCCTCGCTACCTTTAGATTCACAGGGTTACTGAAGCTGACTCTGAGATCACTGATATGAAACTCCAAGGTTCAAACAGGGGAAGTCCACCTTTACTCATCCTGTGGTGAGGTGTCGGGATCGTCCTGGATCGAGTTCTTCAGCCATTGTGATGACTATTTCAGCCTCCAGGGGACCTTGCTGTTATGTTTACCTGTGCTTGTTGCTTCCAGAGGACGTGACGCTGAACCCGGTGACGGCGTATCCCTTCCTGATCCTGTCCGAGGACCGTAAGCAGGTGAAGAGAGGAGAGAAGCTGCAGTTCTACAGAAACAGCCCGCACAGGTTCGACGTCTGGTCCTGCGTCCTCGCCAAGGAGGGATTCAGCTCCGGGCGCCACTACTGGGAGGTCAGGACCCAACCGGCCTTGGGACTGGGTTCAGTAATGGCTAGCAGGATCCAAGTCTGATCTCAGGTGTGTTTTTCAGGTGTGCGTCGGGGAGAATAAAGACTGGAAGCTGGGCGTGGTCAGCGAGTCGGCTCAGAGGAAGGGTCTGTTCGATATGTGCCCGTCTCACGGATACTACGCCATCTGGTGGAGCAGCAGCCAGCTGAGGGCGCTCACCACGCCACCGCTCACCAAGGTCCAGTCCACGTTTCACATGCACTTATGTACGGAAGGCCACTGGTGCCGCAAGAAAGCAGCCACTCAGACTTAAACATTAATTTGGTCAGCATGACTTTAACATAGAAAATCTCTAAATTTAATTGAAATAAGTTGGCGCAAAAAGTACCCAAAATCCATCATTTCCACACATTTAATAACTTTAAAATCTGATGAAATTAATTCTATTGTGTGTTAATGACAAAATTTTAAGGCAAGAAGGATGCAAACAGGCCCATCCTGTAAAGCTCAATAAAAAAATACAAATTAAATTTATGTTTATTTATGTTTATGTAATTTATGTTTTTAATGCAACAGTTAAACTTTGAGTCCTTTCATGAATACAAAAACACCACAGTGTCTTTTTAGCACCAGTGGGCTTCCACACCTTGAGGCTTCTTGACAGTTTGCAACTTCTGTCGACTCGTCTTAATCGTATTCTGTTTGCGTCTCACCTGCAGGTCAAAGGTCACCACCCCAAGCTGCGACAGGTGGGCGTGTTCCTGGACATGGAGGAGGGTCAGGTGTCCCTTTACAATGTGAAGTCGGGCTCAGAGATCTACAGCTTCCACACATCCACTGAGTTCACCGAGAGGATGTTTCCTCTGCTGGGGACCGGAGACAAAGAAGTCCCCCTGATCCTCCTCACCACGCTGCAGCACCCGGCCTGAGGGACTGGGACCAGAACCGGGACCAACCGGAGGGTCAATGCTGAGCGAACTAAGAGCAGAGGAACTGCAGGTGGAGTCGAATCGTCCTCACGTTGATCTCCAGACTCTGCAGTGAGACTTGAAACAACAAAGGATGTTTGTCTCGTTTTGTCCCCGTTAGATCCTGACAGGCGATGGTTTTGTAATATCGATCACTGAAGAACGATGTGCTCTTACAGCCAGAGCTGCTTCTTAAATTTGTAAATATGGTCATAAAAATACATCAAATGAATCGAGGGAACCAACTTTTTTTTTTTTAACAATTAAAATGATATAAAGAAGTTTTCACTTTGTGTAACCAGTTTGTTTTTGTAACGCTGTGAAACTAAAAGATTAGTAACACTAAACCTTTACTGAGCTTTTGTGAAACACTAAACATAAAATTATTAAACTCAAAGCAAATAGTTGATGTCATGAATACGTCACGTTTAATGTAACAGCTTATCGAACAATAGTTAAATTCTGTTTTCATATTTTTTCTAAATGTGTTGCCTTTTTTTGGCAACATATTGGCAACCTTCTTTTCGGGGGGCGGGCGCAGCAGCTTCTAGTGGACGTCAGAGGAACTGCAGCCATAGTGATAGTTAATAACTGACAGTTAAATTATTTTATGAAAAACAAACGTTTCAGCGTGACCTCGGATTTTTGCCAGACGTCCGTGTACTGTAAAGCTTGTTTTTCCAGTAGATTCTGAGAAGTGTCGAATAATGTTGGAAATAAAAGTGAACTTGTTAAATAAAGAAAAGAAAAATTGAGGTTGTTGACGTGTTTTTTTTTTCTTCTTTTATTCATGTTGCTGAAACACAATCTTACTGTGATCAAAGGTCAAGGTTCAGATCTGGGATCACACCACAATCGCAAAATCCCTCCATGCGTCCAGACCCGACCCTCACATCACAGCTCGGATCAGAAACTCTTCGTTTCATTTCTTCATTTTCACCTTCTGATTGGTTTTACTTCCTGCTGCTCACTGCCATTGCTCCAGCTTGTTTCTCTGATGTGGGACGAGCTCAGGACCAGTCACATGCTTTTAAACAATGTATTCCTGACACTCGTTATTAGATTAAAAGAACCAGGTAACGCACGCTCGCTGCACGAGTCCATGGTTGTCATCGGTGACGCTGAAACAGAAATTATGTCCCTGTTTAAACCTTTCACATGTCAAACGTCTGCTGCGTGCTCCGACCTGCCAGGCAGTCCGACAACTTCCTAAAAGCAGGTTATTAGCTCAGTGCCCCCTACTGTCCCACCCATGTTACTACAGCTCCAGCTCCTGGTCGTAACGAGCTCACTGAAACTGAGCGTGGTGCTGAAACGGGACGCCAGGGCCGCTGTCTCTCCACGCTCAGCTGATTACCGTAGGGCAGGGTATCAGGGTGCTGAGGCGTCTGCTCAGGCATTAACATCAGCACAGAAAATATGCACCACGAGCTTCATGCTTCATGTTATCCTTACACCACCGAGCACCGATGCGTAGAGCCCGCCGCAGAGCCCGCCGCAGAGCCTTACCCGACCATCTTTAAGCTCCTCCCCCCACACTGGTGATATCATCTGTGGCGATCGAGGACGGAAGTGACATCAGCACAGCTCTACTCATTCAACTTCATATTTTATTTAACATAAATCATACTGCAGTCAGTGTGAACAGCCGGGGTTTCAATATACACAATAGAATCGTAACATTTTAACCCCCTCCCCCTTAACCCCACCCACAACCCCCCCAAATGAAAATCGACCCCCCCTCCCCCTGTAACCCTGCCCCCAGACCTACAAGCCTTTAAACATAACCCTCCCACCCTATAACAGCCCCACCCATCTCACACAGCTCCGCCCACCAACCCTGTCTTCATGTTTCCATCTAGCAGCGAACTCCAAACTTCTCCATCTGCCACACCTGCAGAGTGTCATGTGACCACCTTAAGCACAATGGCACTAACAAGCCCCTCACATAAAATCAAGCTCCACCTCCACACCACCCGCAGAGTAACAAGCCCCTCCCTCCAGTGTAGGCACACACAAAAATCAAAAACATGTAGCATCTCCTAGCATTGCTAACAGACTCCGCCCTCTCCCACAAGCCACTCCCCCTTTGCTGGAGAAGAAAAAAAATAAAAAAATGGAGCATGTGCTTAAGGCCCCTCTCCTACAAGCCCCTCCCCTTGTGCTGACATTATCATTACACCTGCAGGTGCAGCAGATGGCTTTAAGGCTCCGCCTACAGGTGGTCACAAGCGCCACCCACAAGTGTCCATACAACACTGAAGCTGCTAGGGTTTGGAGTTTGCTGCTAGTGGACTTGCATGTCACCAACAAGGGGGCGGGTCCATTCTAACCGCCCGTCTGATGTCAGGCTCCCTCGCCAAAAACTCGAAAACTAACAAAAAGAAAAAAACAAAATCACATGAGTATCATCACCAGCATCATGGCCATCACTGACCACCCTGCCCTCCCCCTCCCCCGTCCATCATCATCATCATCATCATCGGCGGCCGTCTGCTGGCAGCCATCTTTTTGAGTCCATTCAGGTGTGTGTTGTGTGTCGGCGTCCCGCGGCGGCATGTCGACGGTTCAATGCTGCGTCTCAGAAGTTAAACAGAGAGAAACAGGAGGGGAGGGAGGAGGCAGAGGGGGAGGATGAGGTTCTTCTTCTTTTGTTTTGAAACAGAAAAGCGTCTTCTGGTGTGCTGCTTCCTGTCGCCGCAGCTCCTGCTTCAGCCAACGAGCAGGACCGGGGAGGAGGGGGAGGAGAAGTAGTGAAGGTGGTGGGAGGGGGGAGGTGGGATGGGAGGGAGCTCAGAGGATGATGGGACGCTAAGTTATTTAAGACATCTCTCAAAGTAGGTGGCGCCCACGTAGCCGCCCCTCAGGGAGCGATGGACATTCTGCTCGAAGAGCCGCCGGTTCGTCTGCAGGACCTCCGCCGCCTCCTTGTTCAGCGGATCCTCTGGGTTTGGCTCCTGCGGGGGGAGACGGGGAAGCAAAAGGCGACAACAGTCGTTAAATGTCTCGTTACAAAACGTTCACCAGCTGAGGGCAGCACTGAGCCGCAGAAGAGAAAACATGCGCACTCACTAGAAATAGATACTGTAGGCCGTAGATGATGGAGTTTATTGTCAGCACGGGCTTCCAGTCCTCTCTGTGGAGAAGAAGGAACAGGTGAGCAGCAGAAGCCCTCACCTGGAAACGCTCACCTGTCTGACCTCAGTGTGACCTCAAGTTTGATTTTAAGAACGCACACACCTTAGGATGTTTAGGCAGACGTTGCCCTCCAGGTCGATGTTGGGGTGATACACCATCGTCTCACATTTTACCTTTGGGGGGTCGTGGGGGTAACCCTGTCCTACCTGAAACACACACACACTGTCAGATCACCTGCTTCTTAACGAGCCCCCGGCGATGACCCTCGAAATGTCGCCGGACCCTCTGAGCTGAGATTAGATTAGCAGCCTCTACAGGTGAGGTCAGAAGTCTCCGCCAATCACAGGCGTGGATGTCAGGATGGAACGACTGTACAGCAAACATCAAAGGAGTTGGAAGAACAGGTCTGTGAAGACGTTTCATCCCAGAAGCTTCTCTGTCACAGACTTTAGTGGGAGTGGCCCTAAGAGTATTCATCATGTGACTCATCACAGCCAAGGTGTGAAAAAGGCGTGGGTGATTATCAGATGTCTTGGAACCATTGTGAGACTTTGCCCCACCCCATCATGTGACCCACTGAGGTCACCTGATGCAGGTTGTGAGTGGGCGTCAGGGGTCTGGGAAGGATCTCAGACCAGTGTAGGTGGCGAATGTGAACACTGGCATCCTGGATAGAGTGACCTTTGACCTTTAGATGCAGATGAGTGTTTTGCTTTTAGAGCTGAAGAAGCTTGTTGGATGAGACGAAACATCTTCAACAACCAAACACGTCTGCTGGCTTTCTTCCCGAGCTCCTCGGACTTCCCTGAGCTGAATGATGTACAGCAAACTCCTTCAATGACTCTAAAGAACAAGTATGCATTTGCTTTTCTCTGATCCACACAGGCCCAGATACACAGACATCTTTTATTAAGCGAGTTTTATTTTGACACGGTCAGGTTATTCAGATGTGTCACCACTTTGGCCTGGAAGAAAGGCCCAAACTGCCCCCCTTCAGATGACACCACATTGGTTGGGATGTTCAGGAACCACCGAGACTCAAGCCTGCCATGACCCACAGCGAAGCCAGTTTCACATCGCCACGGACCGAGAGGGTCCCAACCAAGAAAGAAGCACCTGCTCCAAAATCAAAACCTTTAAAAACGTGTACCTGCCCACATGGATGAACCAAATGCCTCCAGGAGAAGAGTCTGATGGTCAGAGACAAAGACTGAGCTGTGTGGCCAAAGGTTAGTGGTGGTGTGTTCATTTATTGGCCCTGTGTGGAGCAGGGAAACGCCAACACTAATTCAAACCTGTTTTTTTAGAGTTTGCTGTACAGTCACTTCAGCCTGGAACAAGAACATCCAGGCCCATGACGACTGACCACAGCTACCAGTCGCCAATGGTGACGGTCCACTCCGATCCTGAAATATAAAAACTATAATTTAAATGCATTAAAATGAGCCACGCACTTATCAAAACGTCTCTTTGCCTTCCTGTAAATCATCAGCGACGAGCCTCCTCTCCTGACCCCCACCGGCGTTCCTACCGGCCTGCAGCAGCCACCGCAGGAAGTCTGCAGGCGGGCCAGCAGGAAGACCAGATGGACTCAGGAGACCTGTAGGACCGTGGAACGTCACACAAGTCTGTCAGCGATTATGATGAATCCACCTGCTAGTCCTTTACGGGCTCACCTGCAGAAACCTCAGGACTTCTTACAGCTCAACCATGAGGACATCTAAACACTGCGTGAAAGGCAGCACCTGATTTATAACACCAGAGAAAATGAGAGCCTCGTGGAGAAAACGGAAGAAAAAAGTGATTTTATCATCGCTGCAAGCCAAATTCATAAATAAAGTGATAATTAAATAATGGAGCTACATTAGTGAGCCTGTTATTGATGTTCTCAGGGCGCTGTGGGCCGGACTTTACACAGGTGAGACCTGTTGTTAGACCAGTGGAGGCTGCTGAGGGTCAGACTGTTTCAGGATTATTTCAGCATGAAGAGCCGAGGGTGGAGCCGAGGGTGGAGCAGAGAGAGAGACGGCTGTTTCTCACCTTAAAGCTGAAGACAAACTTTCCTCCTTTGTAAAAACCCTGAGAGACAAAAAGACAGACAGAGGCAGACTCGTTAGCTCAGCATCATCTTCATCTCCCGATTCAGCCCCTCATCCTCACTCTGTACAAACTGAGGTTTCATACACCTGTGTGCCACATGAGTGGGAACAATCGGCTCTGGTGCAGCAGTGTCTGAAACTGGTCCTGCGCTCACAGGTGGAGGTGTTTCACTGCTTTTACAGACAGCACTGCTCGTGATACTGACGCACACCTGCAGCTCTCACAGGTGTTTGTCCTCAAAGTCAGAGAGGAATAAAGTTTTTATGCAATCACGTCTCTGAATGAAACGCACACACGCACCTCGTCCGGTGAAATGATGAGTCTGAAGTTGAGGAGGTCGTCATCATCGGGGAAGTTGATCTCACACGTCTTTGGTAAGTTCAACTCATTGATGTCTGAAAAACAAACACAGGCAGGTGTTACTGATTCTGATTCGTCCTCGGGAATCAAAGACGTCCTTCATCTCTTCTTCTTTCACCTTTCAGAGGCTCATGAAAACATCTGGAGCTCTAAATACCTTGTCTGTATGCTAGGACCTGTGAAAAGCAGTGCTGACACGAAGGTCTCTGAACTGTCCCAAAAGACTTAAAAATCCAGAACAACATCTGGAACACTTTCAGCTAGAACTGGAACCTTCTCCAAGACCTCCTTCAGCATTTCTCAATCTCACCTTGGTATTTAAGGACTTCTAAAACCTCTGGACCTCTTTAAATATTCTTAAAAATCTCCACATATTGTGTTCTTTAGGACTTCAAAAATGTTATGTCATCATCTCCAAAATCTCAATAACCTCCAGAGAAGAACACAAACCTCCTTAATCAACTTAGATGAGCATCAATGAGAAATGACGGCCTAGACCCACGAGGTAAAGAAATAAAAGGACCATTATGAAACAAATCTAATCAACTTTTATGTGTCAAAACGTTTTTGCCAGAATGTGGAAGAACAACTTCCAAATGTAAAAAACCCTGATCTTGTCGCAGGTTTAGGGGGTGACTCTGAAACCACTGGATACCTTCTTGTTGTTTAAGGCACCAAAACATCTGGACCATCTTCAGAATTGCTTTGATCCCGTGTGGTGGGTCAGAGCGGGCCCAGGTGGTCACTCAGGTCTGCTAAACACAGGTTGGAACCCAGACCCACAGGCCTGCAGATCCCCTGAGGACCCCAAACCTCTGCAACCCCATGAATCGCTGAGATTCAAATTGTCATTCATCAGGTGGGTGGAGGCAAGAAGAAGTAGGTGGTTGGTGTCAGGAACACGTGCTTTTTCTTGGACACTTGCTGGGGCATCACCGCCCAGCCTTTTGGCCTGTGTCACTCCTGCTCGGGTTATGCTCCAGATAAGAGACCAAAAGGTATGAAACCACCGACAACCAGCCAATCAGATCCATGGAAACCACAGAGCCCATTCCAGCAGATCACTTAGAAGTTGAGAAGGGTTTCAGACCTGTCCAGGTCAGATGCTGCAAAGTAGACAGATAGAGCTGATAAGTCAGACAGATCCTGATAAGGTGAGCTGGACTCTGAGAATAGGGACCTGAGGCTGTTCTCCTATTGGTCACCCACACCAGGTGACTCACAAGGCGTCTGACAGGCAGGCAGGACCCTCAGAGTCTACTGTGATCCACCACACAGGTTCAGCCTGGTTCTAACCCTGCAGTCTAAGCCGGGCTCTGATCTGCGTTCACCTGTCGCCCTGCAGCCCCTCGGGTCGACCTGCACCTGAGGAGGATAGAGGGTCAGGAGGGTGGGCGCTGTGCTCAGGTGTTTCACTGAGTCCCTGTGTTCCTAACTCACCTGGTGTTAGGTAGAAGTGGACCCCGCGGAACTGACACAGCAGTTAGAGGCTAGCTGGCGTTAGCCGTCAGTGTTTACGGCTATCCGGCGTTAGCTGTTAGCAGCTGTGTTCCGGGTTAGTGTTGTTAGCTGCTAGCTGCTGCTAACTGCGTGCTAACACCTTTAGCCTGCGTTTTGTTTTCATGTAGCACAGCCGGGCTAGCAGCCCTAGCTAACACCAGCTTCAGCCGCAGTTAGTCGGCCAGCCGTTAGCCCGAGTGAGCTACAGCAACACCGGGTCTGGGTTTGAGAGCCCTGGGTCCCGTGGGTTCGGTGTCGGCCGGTGGGTAACTCTCGGCTAACAGAGCCTACCTTTCTGTATTCGGAGCTGGGCCGCGCTGGCTTTCTTGCCCCCGGCTCCGGTTCTGTTTCCTCCAGCAGATTCCTCGTCTTTCTTCTGCTGCTTCAGGGAAAAGAGCTTAATCATCTTCAGTTATTTGACACACGAGGCGTCCCTTCTGTGAGCCGTCAGCGGGTCTGAGAGGGTCTGAGAGCGGGGTGGTTTCCCAACAGCACCGTGATGTGAATGGAGCCGGTGCGTCTGATCACGGAGGCAGGAGGAGCTAGCAGCGGAGCTAGCAGCGAGCTGGCTAGCGGGAGAGAGGGGAGGGGAGGGGAGGAGAGGAGGAGGGTTGAGCGCGCGCGCGTGTGTGTTGGTCTGAAACACGTGAAAGTCCACTGGTGCCAGAAGAAAACAATCGCGAGATGGTCTGGGGGCTGCTGGAAAGAGTGAGGGGGCCACAGGCAGGTAAACCCAGCTTTAAAAACTCTGGGTTCAAGAAAAGTGATGAAAAGCACCTGAACGTGAGTTTGAAGGTGTTTGTGATGAACAGCTGTCTCTTCAGTGAGGGAGGAGAGTGTGCTCAGCACCTCCGGCCTCCGTGCTGGTGTTCCAGTTCAGCCCGATGCAGATGTGGAGTGTAGGCTTCCTGTCTCAGGACAGGTGCTCCATGCAGTTACCCTCTTCCTTCAGAAGCTGTAGGGGTCATGACCCAAAGCTGAAGCTGTTCAAGGCAGACAGGAATTCATCTTTACAAAAATAAAACTTGTTTTTCGTGCAGTCTTCTCGTATTAAATCAGAGTCCCATAACTGTCTGCCTGTAAGTACAGGTGGGGTCTATATGGCAGCACAGGGCGCTGAAGGTGGAATTTAAAACATTGACCTTTAACCTTCTGCTGTGAAGACTGGTTTTTGCTGACAGTTTGGATCCAGGTGGATGTGACCAAGAAAGCGCAGGTAGACTAAAAACACTGCAAATAAAAAAACAGCAGTGTACTGATTCAGTGTAGTCTGCAGTTATCACAGCGAGGAGTCTCAGCATCCGTGAGTTATGCTTTACTATTATCCATCCCAGACTTCTACAAACTCGAGACCAAATAAACGCAGTCTGGTCAGCTTCAGCAAACATCAGCATAAATCCTATTTTTATGGCAGGAAACGTCCAGCTGGCCGTCACTCAGTCAGAACACCGTCAGCAGAGCTCGTCGTCACAGACGTGAACCTTCAGGTTTGAGCTGGAGCTCAGATCAAAGATCCACTTTCAGCAGAGCCACTGTGCCCTCTGAGGAAATGCTTATACCCAAGTGTCTGAACCCACAGAGGAAAGTCACTCACGTTTACAGAGGAGAACAGTACTCCACACATCACACATCACATGACTTTGTTCATACAGCAGACAGCGACCAAAGTCAAATGTAAAATTACATCAGTAAATAATAAAAACAGAAAACATGCACTGGGAGAAATGACACAGTAAATCAAATCAATGTGAAGCTGGAACGAAACAAAAAACGTGTTTTATGGAATAAAATATTTATAAGATATATTGTGAATAAACCCTGCGGTGAACTCAGGAGTCAGCGCTGCTGTGTTTCTTTATAAAAATAAAAATCTCGGTTTTTATGAGCTGTAAAGTTATTCACCAGCATGTTTTAGTCGTTGATTGATTTCATTTTTATTGCACCAACATGTATTTGCATGTGTTTGCTGCATTTTTTAAATCTTTTTTTTCTTACCTTGAATTTCATTTTTATCCGGATTCTACTGATCTCTATATTCTATTATATTTCAAATGTCTTGTGTGGGCTAAAAAACATTTTAGCTCAACGCTTTTTTGTGGAGAAGCGGGACAACTACAAGTCCCACAATGCCCTCCGCACTGTGACGTGACACGGAGAGGAGGAGCGTGCATATCGTTTGTGCCTATATTTTATTTAGCGGTTTATTTATTTATTTATTTATTTTATTTTCCGTCGCTGTCCGAGGCTGAAGCAGCGCGAGCTCTGCGGTCACCTGCATGATGTCATCAATGCGGGGTTAAACGTGCCGCGAGCCACCGGCCGATTCGCGACACTGAACCGAATCACGCGCAGCACCGCAGCCTCGCGCCACACAATAGAGTCGCAGAACAATAGCCGCGCGCGGCGCTGCTTTTCCAGCCTACGACGGCGAACGGGCCTAGTTCGTGCGGAGGAGTATCACCGGGAACGCGTTGAAAGCGCCGCGCTGCGGCGAGAACGGGCCGTTGTGTGTATTTTGGAGCCCCTCGGGAGGAAGAGCCGCGGAGCACGCGGAACGCGCTGCGGGGGGAGAGCGAGGCGGATCGAGTGCAGAGAGAGAGGCGGACAGAGAGGGGAGTGAATGGGCACGACTGCGCCCTCCGCCTCACCGATATCCATCCGTTCTCTACCGACACAGTTAGACCACCGCGGTCCTTCAGGCAGGCCAGCCTGGAGAACCGGAGCCAGCGGCAGCCAGCGGGATGGCATGCGCATGAAGCAGCGGCGGGCGAAGAAACAAGGAAGCGGACGGCTAGCTGCGCTCAGCACGGGCTAACGTGGGCTGATTGTTGGCGGATACCGATTCTAATGAGCGACCCAGGAGCATGCGAGCTGATTCAGAGAGGTGAGCGAGGAAGGGTTCGTGAGGGTCGGGTTTGTTCACCTACACCTGCCCGGCAGCTAGCTGCGGAGCGGGGACAGCGTGAAAGAGGAAGCTGCTGCAGGGGGCGGACGGGCTGCTAGCGTGCTAGCCTGTTAGCACGCCTAACGTTAATGTTTTAGGAGAGGCTGGGGAAGGGAAGGGGGGCTGCCCTCCTACATGTGATATTAGGTAATTAACAGGGCAGACGGTGTGTACAGGTGTGTTGTCCGGGCAGGTATGCCCAGGCTGGCTGTAGGTGACTGTGACGGGATAGCTGCTAGCTGTTAGCGGTTAGTCTCCAAACGGTGCCAGATGCGCATCTTCATTATTATTGCTGTTAGCTGCTGTTAGCTACAGCCAGCCTCTGTTTCCGTCACATGTTTAATTAGAAAATCGCGTTTCAGGTGATGTTCTCATACAGGTGTTTCTGTGGGCTCGTGCTGGCCTGGAAGGAGGAAGCTGGTGAAAACGATCCTGGGATGTTAGCTTCACACAGGAAGCAGGATTGCTTCACCCTCTCCGTTTTCATTCTTTAATGTCAGGAATATTATTCCCTTGATTACTGACAGGCACTGTGAGACTACAGCAGCCGCAAGAATACCCAGAAAATACAATAAATATTATAAGTAACGTGAAAGAAACGGAGTGAAGCTTCAGAGCATGCTCAGCAGCCCGTACAACCAAAACACCTGGATTTAAAAACACCTGGATTTGGACCAGATAATGAAGCAGATGCGGTCTGTTAGTGATTTCAGTATGTCGAGGTCCACCTAACAGGTTTAAATAATATTGTAGAATCTTTAAGCATGTGGCTGCTCTGCAGAGGACTGCTTGCTGTTTTTGGTTCTTTGACTTTGCATCTTTTTTGGAATAACACTGTGTCCCTGTTGGATTTATGCAACTGTAAACCTGCAAAGATGCACTGATACGGCTTTACACTCTCCCCCTCAAACTCCAGGAAGTTCTTGTCTCACTGGAACAAAATAAAGTGTCTGCAGGTGAGCTGCTGTGCACTCGCCTTTGCCTGATGGGAAAGCAGGTGCAGCAGATTTATATAAAACCGGTTTTGTCGAGTCCTTTCACTGCTCATACCGAGGCCGCTCACCATCAGCTTTGAGGGGGACTCTAGTGTCTGATTAGAGTAGTTGTGAGGAGCGTGTTCTTGGTCTCGCCGCAGTGAACTTTGAACTCTGACTCTAGAAAGTTTTTTAGTTTTTACCAACAAACTGAACAGTTTGAAGTCGAGGATGAAGAGAACATAGCCTGAGACTTCCAGATGTTTACAGCTTAACACACACTCCAGTCCACAGGAAGTGGCCTCGGCACTGCTGACACAAGTGCGTGGAGCAGACCCTGAACTGATCATCGTTTACACAGAGGAAGCTTTTTGAAAGTAATTATCAGTTAGAGCAAATGTGTGTTTTAATGCTCTGCAGCCACTTTTTGTGTGAATGGGTTTATACAATAAAATATCAAATTAATGTCACTTTAACAAAGTGTAAAGCTGAAAAGTTGTTTTAAAAATAATAAAGGTACAGAGATCAATCGCGTCTGTCCACACAGTGAACCGTTGTTAACATCGACCACATAAGTGATGATTAGTTAATCGAGCAGCGCCGCGAGGCTGCTGCGAACAGCATGTCAGCTGCATGTTGGCGTTTTGGTTTTATTCTTACAAAATGTTTTTTGTGCCACGTGAGAAAAGGAAAAAACCCAACAACAGCCAACGGCTCCTTCTGGTTATCAATCAGCTGAACCTGATCAGTAGTCAGTATCAGTCAGGAGGAGAGGGAGGCGTGTTCATCAGGTTTAAACTGCGTTGAATTGGCTCCGTAACCTGACGGGCGCCTTCTTACAGAGCGACTGTGATTGGCCGTTGAGGTCTGCCACTTCCCATCTGGCTGCTTCTGCTGCCATGTTTCGAGTCAGCTGGAGGGCCAACTCGTGTTTGGGTGGTGAAACTGCAGGGCGGTGCGGGCGGAGCACGCACATGCATAAATGGTGGCTGTGGTGGGCGGCTGCGCCGCAGATTCAACACTGAATGTGAGCTTTACCCCGTGCTGTGCGAAAGTCTTGAGTCACCCCTCATTAATCTGCTTCCGGGCAGCCAGACCTTGTTGTTCCTTCTAAAGTGCTCTTGAGCATTAGTCGCCCAGTTTCTGAAGTTGTTCTGTGGACACTGACTGCTTTTTCACTCCAGTCCTCGTACCTGACCGTTTCCTGTGAAGCACGGTGGAAGTTCTGTCATGGGTTGAGCTCATTTCCAGCGTGAGACGCTGCCAGTCCAGGGAGAGCACACCTGGATCGGCCTCGTCAGAGCCCGGACCTGCAGTGTGAGGTCATCCTGACAGAACACAGGCAGAAACATTCAAAAACTAATAAACATTCAAATACTGAAAACTCAGAGGGTGTTTTAAACCAGTCGTATTCAAATCACCAGTTAATTACATGACTTTCTGGGTCCTTATGATATGAAAAATGTTTTTCCTTTTGTTGAACCTCAGACGAGTTTCTGCTGATTGAATTTTCATTTTGTGAGACGCACATTCTGTTCCAGCCGTTTAAACGTCTTCAACAACACGTACGACGACTTCAGTCCACCTGTAACGTTTCAGGAATAAAACTAAGTGTTTGTTGGATTTAAAAAAGCGTCGTGATGAGTCCAGATGTTTGATCAGCACATTATTGGTGTGATGATGTCATTAAAAGGCTCGGACAGCACAAACATAGTTCAGAGGTCCAGTTCAGGTGAAGCTAGCAGACAGCCTGTCAGTCAAAGAGACCACGCCCCTAATAATGCAAACTTTCAGCCTTAATACGACTGAAACAGGTGTTGTGAGGGGTTTATCTACATGCTGTAAACGTCTTTACCTCCACAGGGATCGTCTGCTGCTGTCCCACATGCTCATATCTCTGTCCTCTCGCTCTCTCTGGTTCCAGCTGACTTGTTCGGTGATGTCGGGCAGTAAGGCGCTGGGCGGGGGGGCCGGCGGTGGGGCGAGGCGCAGGCGGACGCGGTGCCGGCGCTGCCAGGCCTGCATGAGGACGGAGTGCGGCGAGTGTCACTTCTGCAAGGACATGAAGAAGTTTGGCGGACCCGGCCGCATGAAGCAGTCCTGCCTCCTGAGACAGTGCACGGCGGTGAGACGCACACACGACACGACAGCAGACGCCGAGACTGTAACCTGAACATGAACCACACTGGCCTTAAAATGAACTGAGTTTAAAAATACATTACAGATCCTCATTGTTAGACTCTACACAGCAGCTTTGCATGATTCGGTTCAGAATCAGTCTTCTTTGTCTGACCTACATCCCTCGGAAAGCTCTTACACAGAGCTCTTGTTTAACCCTGACAGTGTTTGTGTAATAGTCACAGTGAAGTGGACATGCTTCTGTCACACGGTCGCCGTTGGCTGATGTTTGCTGCGTGCCGTCCAGCAAAAACCTGCCGAGAAAGCAGGAATGTGTGCGGCTCGCAGACTGAAGGGTGACCTGTGCTTTTAGCTTTGGATCATCCAGCCCAAACATGTCAGTAACGCGTGACCTACGCAAACCAGCAGGAGACACGTCAAATCTCGCAGGGCTCGCTCAGCGGTCCTCGCCACTGCTGGCACACCGGCCAGCGAGAAAGCCCCTCCCACAGACTGTCAGATCAGGTTCAGTTCGTCTGCAGGTACGGCTTCGCGGTCGGACCTCAGGCTCTGTACACTCAGGTATCTCTGTGGCTTCAACTGATAAGAAGCAATGATTGATGAATATTATGCCCTTTGACCTCTGAAGCCTTCAGCTGGAGTCAAACCCAGCTCAGCGGTTTGCTTTCAGGAATAAGTGTCAGAAGCATGTGACTGAGCAGATCACGGAGGCGTGTTAGCTGCAGCGTACATGCAGCGCTCCATCATCCACAAACATTCAGCTCAAAAATCACACTGCAGGAACCCGTCCACTTATTTATGCTCAGATCTGCAGTCTGAGTGAAACAGGTTTCCATGTCAACACGGTCCTCCATTACACCTGCTGCTGTCCCTGACGGCAGGAACGCGACCCATGCACAGGTGTGTGCGTGCTGAAGATGTGCTGTATTCTTCTTTCTGTGTGTCGATTCTTCAAATGGCATCAGCCAAGAGCCCAGCGGGCGACGATGCTGGGTTTCCGTGGCAACCAGTGATGGTTGCTGGCACTGTGAGCGAGAGCGAGTTGGCTTTGATCCATTGCCATTTCACAGAGCTGCTTAAAACACACACACAGTGAGACGGTCTACGGCTCACATGATGGAGATTTATTTATCTGTTGTTGGAGCTTTGTGTGGAGGAGGAGGGTGGAGGTTAGGATGATGCTCCTTGCTTTGCTCCCTCAGCAGGAGCAGAGACGCCCCCTGGTGTCTGCTGAGAGGATGAGGAGCACCAGCTGCAGGTGTTCTGAGTGCTGCTGCCTCACTGAGGTCGAGCAGTGACCTGGCGACCTGCAGCTCATCGCCTCTTTAAGTCATTGCGAGCCGTTTGAGGCCTCAGACCGCAGGTTTGGGTCTGCGCGGGTGTTGGGGGGTCGACCACCCTCAGTGGGTTCGATGTGTGAATCTGGTGTTTCTGAGTACATGAAACACGAAAATAAAACCGGATCATGCGTCTGTGCTGTTGACCTTTTGGTGACCTGCTCGACTTTTAAAAGGTTGATGGGTGCATGATCATGTTTTTAAAAACGCAAAATGCAGCCAAGCGTCACTGCTCGACTAACGAGGCGAGATTGTAGAAACACACTCGGCTTCTGTTTGGATGACAACAGCACAGGTTACAGACCCAAACACAGCAGAGCTCCACGATTCTGCGCTCGGATCAATAACCGCACAGTGTTGGATGCCAGAGCAGCCAGGTGAACGCCGAGGGGAACGGCCCACCTGCAGGATGTGCAGGAGAAGAAGTCTTGATCGATCGATCAGATCCCGACTGAGCCCTGAGCAGGTCGGGAGGGTCCTAAAGTCACAGGAAGGAGTCCGCCCCTCACCTGTGGGCCTGATCGACCTGCTCTGAGATCCAGATGTTTCTCTGAGAGATGTTCAGTCCTACTGTTTGATTAGGAAGCAGGAGTAGACATTAGCGCTCTAAAGGTTTCAGCTTTGTGTGGTTCATTCAGGTACTCTCCTCCCACAACATCTGCATCCACGTCTTTAACTGTCAGCACGTTTCCGTTTTTACCCCCCTGTACACGTCTCACCTGTCTGTCTCACCTGTCTGTAGCCGGTGTTGCCTCACACAGCCGTGTGCTTTGCGTGTGGAGAGGCGGGGAAGGAGGACACGGTGGACTCAGAGGACGAGAAGTTCAGCCTCTCGCTGATGGAGTGCACCATCTGCAACGAGATCATCCACCCCAGCTGCCTCAAGGTCAGTTTGCCTGGAAAGGGCTTTTATTTTGAAATGCCGGTTTGTTTCCTGTGAATGAAAGTTTAATGATGCTGAGGAAAAAGTGGGTCGATGCAGCAGAGCTCTCAGAGCTGTGAACGAGGACGGAGATCTGTCCTCAACACAGAGACGGACTCGGATCCAGATGTTTGGCACTCAGGCTGCACATCATCAGCGTGCAAACACGCAGCATGCTGCTGGAGTGCAGACACGGGGCTTCATTCTGGCTTCTTACTGTCCTGAAAACAAAAACCTGGAAACGATCGCTCCTCATTTTATCTTTTGGTTTCACTCGGCTCGCCCTCTGTGGCTGCTGTGCGGGCCTGAGATTGATGGCCTTTCATCTGTGTGCGCGGCAGCATTAATCCACACTAACAAACCAAACGGAGGTGCTCCTCCTTGGTTTCAGGGAGCTGCTGTCACACACTTCCTGACTCAGAGCGAGTCCACTGAAAGCAGCAGTGACTCAGCAAAGTTTAATCTGTGTAACCTTGTAAGTGTTCAGCAGCTGCACACTGGTCACATGATCAGGTTAAATACATTCAAATAGCAAGCTAACGTTCCTTGGCTCGACCAGGACGTGAGTAACACGTGGCGCTCATAAATGTGCCTATAACAGTGTAATTCCAAAAACTCATTAAATGAATGATCAATAATCTGTCAGAGCCACCGACATCTTAAATGTCACATGACGGTGTCTGACGGCCACAGACAGGGAAACGCTCCGGGCGGATCTGGTCCACACGGGGTACGGTCTGAATTTGTATTTGGCCGACCAAGTTTGTCCAGCAGCAGCCACCGTAGCTCTGGTTACGCTGGAATTGGGAGAAGAAAACAGACCTCAGCTCTCTGAGTCGGCTGACGTGGTGAAAAATTTGTTGCTGTAACTTCAAACTGAGAATATTTCCTCGCAGCGGCTCCATCACATGACCCGCAGTCGTGTCGAGCTGCTAGCATCTCCTCCTCTGCAGTCACTCGCTGCTCTTCCTGATGTTTCCAGATGTGCTGATGTGTGCTGCCTTTTGTCCTCAGATGGGCAAAGCTGAAGGAATCATCAACGACGAGATCCCGAACTGCTGGGAGTGTCCGAAGTGCCACAAGGAGGGCAAAACCAGTAAGGTGAGAGTGGGACCAGTACAGGGGACCGGTTCGGGGCAGCGGTGCGCTCGGATAGACTGAACCCTGCTTCTGTTTGTGTGCAGGACCAGGCGGACGGCTCGGGCAAACGCAGGCTGGATAATGGTGAGGTGGGCCGGTGGAAGCTCACCGATGACCCGCCTCCTAAAAAGAAAGCCCCACCCACCTCAGAGGAGGGCGGGCACAAGAGGAAAAAGGAGAAGGAGCTGCCTGCGGACAGCGGGCCCAAGAAGAAGGTGACCTTAAAGTCAGATTGAACGAGTCACAGAGTTGATTATAGATTATTGATCGGTGTTTAATGTGCTCAGATTTAAGACTGGAGGAGGAGCCAGTTCACAGCTCCCTCTCCAAACCGCTGTTAATGACACTAATGATGTTATCGATCTGCTTCCTGTTTGTTCCTCAGATGAAAGGAGGCCACGAAAAACGCCTGAAAAAGGTAAGACATCCACCGCTAACCCACGTGATGTCCTCGAGCTCGGTTGCCGCCCGCTTTCTCTGACGTGTCGTCTTTTCTCTCGTCAGAAACCCAAACAGGAGGCGGCGGAGTCCAATGGCCCCTCCTCCTCTGGGGGCGGAGCCTCAGGGGTGCAGGGTTCCTCCACGTCATCTTCCTCGCAGCCCGGAGGAGGCGGTGGTGTGGGCGGGACGTCGAGCGCCGACCAGCGTTCCCATCACAGAGAGAAACTGGAACGATTCAAGAGGATGTGCATGCTGGAGCGCCGGCCCTCCTCGTCCTCGTCCTCGTCCTCCAGCTCAGAGTCTGACTCGGAGTCTGACTCCGACGACTCCCTGAGGGGGGAGCAGGGGAGAGTGTCTTCCCCGTCATCGTCCTCGCCAGCCCCACCCCCTCCCGTCGTCTACAGCAACAGCAGCGGCAGTCGTGCGGAGCGGGAGAGAAGGGAGAGGGAGCGGCGTCTGGCCGAGCTCGGCTTCAGTGCCAGCGAGGAGTCGGAGGGGGAGGGAGGGAGGGGCGAGGAGGAAGAGCGGGAGGACGAGCAGGCCGGGGGAGACAAGTCCCGTCGGAGAGGGGAGGCGGGGCTGTCCCAGAGGGGACGCAAAGGTGGGCTGATGGATGGAGAGGATGACGACACGCCCACTTTGGACAGGACCAGGAAAAACTCCGCCTCCCTGCCCCCGCCCTCACCGCTGTCCTCCAGTCAGATGGCTCCGTCCTCGCAGCATGACAGCTTCACCGGGAAGCAGCGCAGCAACGGGCAGGAGGCGCGCAACGGCCGGACACGTGGAGGCACGGGGGGAGGAGGGGGCGGGGAGAAGGAGAACGCGAGCGGAGCTCTGACCAATCACAGACACGGCGGGGGCGGAGCGGGTGGGACCAAAGGTAGCGGCAACCGTGGCAACAAGATCCGAAACAACAAGAACCAGACGTCTAGAAACAGCACCTCCTCCTCCTCCTCAATCCCCACCTCCAATGGCGGGGGGGGCGGGGCCAGCGGACTCATGATGTCAGCCATGGCGGCGTCGCCCTGCTCGCAGCCGTCCCGCCTCGGCCCTCGCTCTCAGATGATGAAGCGCAGCCCGCCGGCCGTACCCTCGCCTCCCCGCCCCGTGCAGATGGAGAGGCACCTGGTGCGTCCCCCGCCGGCGTGCCCCGAGCCCAGCTGCCTGCCGCTGGACTCTGGCACCGCCCACATCATGACACGGGACGTGTGGCTGCGAGTCTTCACCTTCCTGAGTCACAGAGAGCTCTGCGTCTGCATGAGGGTCTGCCGCACCTGGAGCCGCTGGTCAGTCGCTATGAGGTCACGGGTGCGAGGGGGCGGGGTCTCGTACGATGGCCTATCAGAGTCGCTGTAGCTTTGGCTGAAGAGCCGAGCACGCCCTTTCTGCTGATTGGGTTTAAAACTTTGTTATTGGCTGGTTTTAATAATTATGAGGCTTCTGCAGGTCCTCAAAGGGTTAAAAAACTAATAACAATAAAATAAACGCTGTAAGAATAAGAAGCGTCCGACGAGTCGGGCAAACCGCCAAGACGACAGCGTGTTAGCCGACCCAGCAGGAGGTATGTCGGCGCCTCGACCTCCGCCTTTGTTGCAGCATTCGTGTCGCATACTCACTATGTCATGGGACCCTCGGCCGTGTTGCTATGACGACAGCCACACACATTAGGTGGTACTCGATAGGGAGGGTTTTAATCATCGATTCATCGATTAAAATGATTCTGGATAACGTGATATCGATTCATTAAAATCCTGAATCGATTTTTAAATATAAATTTATTTTGCCCGAAACGCCAGAATCTCAGTTTCAACAACCACCAAAGATTAAAACAGTAACTGAGAGCAGGAACAGGCTTCTGCACAGAGACGTGAACACAAAGCTCGACCCGCCGACGCATCAGGATCAATGAGCTGTGACTTTCTCACCGACGGCACGGACACGGTCGGGGCTAGAAGCCGACAGCTCGCTGACTCTGTCGGCGGGTCGAGCTTTGTGTTCACGCCCTTTTTGCGCTGATTCTGAAGCTGTTAATTTGATCTCTCTCCAAACAACATTGATCCAAACTACGCTTCACATAAACATCGTCATGGATTCACTTCGTTTTTGATCGACTGCAGAATATTTTTATAAAATCCCAGAACAGGAAAATCTGCTTCATGTTTTTCTGTTTTATCTTCAGCTGCTTTGACACAAAGGCCTCTGCTGTGACGCTCACAGATACAAAAATATGTAAATGTACTGATCTGAATTATATTTCTGACTGTCTGAGGCAAAATTTCCCAGATTTAAATCGATGACGGTGACGATACCCAGCCCTAGTACTCCAGTAGGAGGGCTACAGTTGCACTTTTACGAGACAAAAGTGGACTCGCTTCGATCAGAGCTGGAGAACAGCGGTAGGTCCGAGTTCATCCTGTCTGGTTTGGATTTCCAAGTCGATGCGTCTCGCTGTACACGTGACCTGTGCTTCTGCATCGTAGTTTACGCCATAAACGGAGCCCCGTTTGAATCCCACGCTGCAACCTTCCACCTAACCTGACGTGAGCCTCGCGGGTAACTACACGTTGGGTCGACATATACCGCCGTATCTCTAGTGGCGTGGAAGGCTGCGGTGCGGGGACTAAAGGAGTTTGCTGACCTCAGTGTAACCCCCACGGTCGTCAGCCCTGCGGACTAAAGCTGTGGTCTCTCCCTCCCCCAGGTGCTGCGATAAGAGGCTGTGGACTCAGATCGACCTGAGCCGGCAGCGCTCCATCACCCCCCCCATGCTGAGCGGCATCATCCGCCGGCAGCCCGTCTCCCTCAACCTGGGCTACACCAACATCTCCAAGAAACAGCTGATGTGGCTCATCAACCGCCTGCAAGGTGACGGTGCCGCCACCTCCACCCGCTGCGCACACACACACACACATTACCCCCACTCGCAACACGAAGACTGAAGCGCGAGGGGAACTTGAATTATAAAAACGCCTTGATTCTGATAACTGCTGTGGATCCCCGTCTGACCGAATCAACTTCGTATTCATGCGCTCACGCTGTGGGGCGGCAGATGGAGCAGAATCTGAAGGCTTGTTTTCAAGGCCTCGCACAGGTGTAGCTCGCCTGCCCACCCCTGCTATAAGTTGCCGTGGTTTTCATTTTTTCACCTGATGGTGTAAGGCTTATTGGCCAAACCAGGTCACATGATACTCTTGAAACATCCCACTGGAGCCGTTTCCCTCCTTCCTGTGAGGCAGCGAGTGGCTCCACCTCTCACCTGCGAGTCTCACCTGTGTCTTCTGTCCCGCTCAGGTCTGCTGGAGCTGAATGTGTCGGGCTGCCCGTGGGCGGCGGTCTCCGCTCTGTGTCAGGCCGTGTGCCCCTGCCTGAAGCTGCTGGACCTCAGCAGAGTTGAGGACCTCAAAGACTCTCACCTGAGAGAGCTGCTGGCGCCCCCACCTGATACCAGGACAGGTGAGACACCCACATCGGAACACCTCCGCCTGCACAAAGGCTCTGAGGTTATCACGTGTTTGATTCTCTGCTCTGATTGGGCCTGCAGCCCACGGGGAAACCAGAGCGGGGCGTTTCCAGAATGTGACAGAGCTGCGTTTGGCGGGTTTGGACCTGACGGACGCGTCGTCCCGCCTACTGATGCGTTATGTTCCTCGCCTGGCCAAGTTGGACCTGAGCCACTGCGGGAACATCACCGACCAGACGGTGCACACGCTCACCTCCCACATCTCCCCCCTGAGAGAGAGCCTCACCCACATCAACCTGGCAGGTAAGCGATGCCTGAGCCTCACCGTTGTCCTGCTCCACCTGTGCCGCTGCTCCGCCTCACCCGTCTGTGTGTTTTCTAGGTTGTGTTAAGGTGACGGAGCAGTCCATCCCGCTGCTGCGCCGCTGCACCTCCCTGCAGACGGTCGACCTGCGCTCCTGCTCGCTCCTCTCCTCTGAGACCGGACAGCTGCTCTCCTTCCCCTCCAATGCCACCACCTCCTCCTCCTCATCTTCTTCCTCTGCTACCACCACCACCAGTGTCGCCGCTACATCCTCCTCCACGCCTGCCGCCTCCTCCTCCTGTCCTCCTGAAGACAGAACGCTGCTAAAGAACAGCTAAAGTCCGCCTTCATGTTATGTGACACTCAAGTCCAGGTGGCCTGTGAGCCCGGCCTCGCTCCTCATTACACTACAGACAGGTGAGGAGGAGGAGGAGGAGTTGTGCAGCACTGCTCCTGACGCTGGAAGAGGAGGAGGGACGTATTTTGGGAAAAAGTTGTTGGTTATAGTTAAAAATAGAAACCCTGAGCATGTATATATTTGTTCTCTGTATAATTTGGGTGTGTGTATATATCTGTAGGTTACTGTAAATGACCCCTGACCTTTGAACCATCATCCCACACCTCCTTAAACTCCCCCATCTCCTTCCTTTCCGTCCTTCCACCCTGCGACCGATCATCACGCCGGTCAGCTGCTCGTCGAGCGAACTCGTCGAGCGAACGCGCCGCGCTCCGTCTGTGCAGGTCAAGCTTTCCCTCTGCTTCCTGTCTCACAGCATCGTCCGCCTTTTTCTCGTTTCTCACCTGAAGCGTCACTGACCTCACACTACACTTTCCATGTCCTCCTCTGCACAGACCACAAATGCATCGACCGTCAAAGTTCGTTCAGACTGACCTTTACTGAACTTGGTTTATTTAACGTGACGAACTCGTCACATCTCAGACGCTCGCGCTGCCAAGTGACTCAAATTCAGGCAGAAACCATCAATCGACTGTTTCTGGCACCTCTTGTGGTTTCTCTCTCCAAAAGTTTGCCGTGATTTGAGTAAAGACTTAAACATGCTCACAGCAGGTCATCGCTGATTTAGTTTCGTTTTCTCTGTTTGACCTCTGACCTCACCGATGACTCCCCTGTAAATACAAACAGCTGAGTGCGTATGAATCGATTAATTGCCCAAAAGATTAGAAAGAGTCACTGGAAAAACTTTAGTTTGGTTTGGTCCAGCACGCCGTCCACGACTCAGACGTCACCGTGACCGACCGACATCGGGAAGGAACCAGAGGGAAAATGGCGAGGGATGGATTCCTGCTGACGGGTCGCTCGTATTGGGTCATTCATGTAGGCGAACCTCGAGTGTCATTTTCGTAACACTGATTTCTTCTGCTGCTGCTCTGCAGCTTGCTTCAGGCAGCACAGGCACGTTTTCTATTGTGGAGCCCATTTCTTTTAACGAGACCATGATGAATGTACTACAAACACCACGATGGAGCAGAGGTCCGTGTTCGCTGGGCTCAGTTTAACCTGCAGTCTGAGCAGGCTGTGGAAGCGTGTTCATAAAACACAAGTGACAGACCAAAAGACCGCCGCACCACCCGAGGGGACTCGATTTCAGACTCAAATCGTGCTGTCAGAGTCCCATCACCGGCCGAAACATTGGCGCCAACTTCCTGTTACTCCCCGGCAGGTCCTCCAAGTTCCTAAACCGTGACGAAATCTTCTGCAGTCAAAACGGAGGCGTGGCTTCCCTTAGCGCGCAGGCGACCTCCGTCAGCTGACGACATAAGGACAGCCGTGTCTTAGCTGCTTTAAATGTACCGACGCGGTCCACAAGGGGCTGTCCTTCAGCTCCTAATATTTGATGGTCCGCTCCGAGACCTCATCTTAGGTCGCCCCGCAAACAACAGCTGTGGAAGAACGTGAAGGTGAAGCAGGGATCAGTGCTGATTTAAAAACCTCTCTGTAGCTCCGCCCGCTCAATCAGTCGCATGCCGTTGAGACTGGTGGGAGGCGGAGCAAGGCTAGTGGTCTCCCCACGCTTCCGGTGCTCGTGCCGAGCTAGGCTGCAAACTTCACATGCGGTACTATTAAAGCATCGCAGTCTTTGTTTCCTGTATCGCAGGTGACCTTTGGCCATGTGTGGGGTGTGTTCAGGTGTTCCTCCTCCCTCTGAGCGTGTGCGTGATCCGACTGATCACGCTGTTTGAAACTGAGCCTCAATCATCCCCCTTTGATTTTATACCCTGTGTCCATCACCTTTGATCAGCTTCCTCTGATCAATCATCAGTTTTCTCAGGAGTATTTGTTGTCTTTGATTTTCTGTTTTCTATTTATTTTGTGCCACAGCAGCGCTTCCATCTGCTCCGATCGGAGACATTCCTGTTTTTGGCTGCTCGCACTCCATTTGATCAGCTTCTGTCGTTGCATCGTTCAGATTACTTTGAGAAATACGAATCTGTTTGCTGAAGAAACCTATTTCTGCCAGGAAAAGAAAAACATGGATGAACAGTCCAAAATCGAGTTCGCGGAAGTACGTCTGGACTTGTTTTATAAATCGTGTGTGTGCGTGTGAGATCTTGCTTTTGTTTTAAGAATCTTAATTTAGCATAGACTTATTTTATCATATCCCTAATTTTTCTTGTGATTTGCCATCAGTTGATCTTGTTTCTTGTTGTGTTCTTGACTTGTCTCAGGTTATTTCTTAATTTTAGTCACTCTGTAGTTGCGACTGAGAAAATCAAGATGATGACTTTGGGTCTTAAGTTGTTTCATTCATGAAGCGTTTGTTTTCTTGGCTCAAATGGGCTTCGGTTGTTTCTTGTGGGCGTCAGTTATGAAAAAGCATTCAGTTGTATTTGAGCAAAGGTTTTTGTTTGTTTGTTTTTTTTCCCCCGTGTTTCCATGGATAAAAGCAGGGAATTTCAATTATAAAGTCGCACAGATGTTTCATAAATCACGTCCAGATACTCAGCTGTAAATGTTGGGTTTATTTTTCTTAATGTATGTGAACTGCCTGAGTTTCCTTTGGGTGGAGGGTGGTGTTAAAAATGTTTTGTTTTTTTATTTTATTTTATTATAATGTTTGTATTTTAAGATGTACACGTCTGCGACACATCAAATGGTCGATCAAATCACAGTGGTTTTAATGACTAAAACTTACTTTTCAGGGTAGACTAGAGTAAATGGATTGCCTTGAACCAGCTGGCAAGTTGGTTAGCTGCAGTCAGTGCTGCTTTACCTCCGCTGCTCAAATATCACTCAAACTATTAAAACTAGTGGACAACAATGTCAAATTAGTGAAAACGTCCTCTAGCTAGCCCACATTAGCGACAATACCCTTTTTAATTTAGGGATTTATTGTTGGTAGTCAGCTAACACGCTAACACTAGCTCTTTTAAGGATTTAAAAATAAAAACTAAAGAATAATTGAGTAAAGTGCATGGAGCAAAATAGCTAATAATATAACGTTGGAACTTACATGAGAATCTAGACCGGAATATTAAAAACAGGGCAGGAAGTAATTTGTCAAGTTAATTTATAACCGCTAAAGATAACAGAATTAGTTTTAGCTAGCTAAATTATTACAGTATAAACTAAAAAAAACAAACATACTTTTTAAGGGAGATTTTTATTTATCAATAAGCTAACAAGCTAATTCTGTTTAATTTTAGCTTTGAAACTTGTCAGGAAAATTCCAAAACAAGCAGGAAAAGGGTCTGATTTATCAGGCTAGCTGAAGGTAACTGCAAAGGCTGTAGAGGTTCAGGGGTTGGCTGGCTAAGAAGACCCGATACTGTTAAAGTTTAAAAAAAGAAAATGAGCGGGAAAATGGCTACGTTCTTTAGGGCTAGCTCAGACGACCTAAAATACCCAGAGGATTAGCTAACATTGATTCAGAACTTGGTCAGAAAAATAAACATGGAGGAAAAAATTAAACAGGTCTACAAGTTTGTTTGTTTGTTTGTTTGTTTGTTGTTGTTGTGTTTTTTTGTTTTTGTTTTTGTTTTTTTTTTTACATGATTACATTTTCAAGCTAATTGGTGTTAGCTTGTTGGTTTAGATTAAAGTGTTCACATATTTCTGGGGACATGATCATAACTGTTTACTGTCTGCTATTAGTCATTTTCTGCTGTTTGTTTTAAATATGTTAACCGTTACCCGTGTTCAATTCTTAGGAAAAAAATGCAGCGTCAGCACCTTCTGTTAGTTGGTATGAGTGAATATTGCAGCGCTGCAGCCGAGGTATCGCAGTGTTTCCTGCAGCAGTGCGTTGACTTTGGGCTGCTACCGGCTGTGAAATAAAAGTATTATGGGTAAATTTGAAATCGCCTGTGACGCCTTGTTGTGCCATAAACGCATCAGATCAACTGTCAGCATGTGAATGGGTCATTTTGTTTTTTTAATCTTTTATTTTTTTTCTATTTGTTGAGTTGTTTTCTTTTGTTTATTTGTTTTTTCCGTGGGGGTGGTGTGCTCTCTGCCGCTTCAGCTAGCAACAAATGAGGAGGTCAAATGTGATTGGACGATAATTGCTAAGTAATGAAAACTGTTTTCCAGTCGGACACCTGCGCTCTCCTCGGGATCTTAGTAAAAACTGAATCATGTGGTGTTTGATGTCTTTTTTTTTTTTGTTTTTGTTTTGTTTTTTTAAAGATGCACTGGATCATCATCTTCATCCTCACCTTTTGCCAAATGTAGTTTTTGTTGTGAAAAGGGGCATTTTATCCTGTTTTCCCTCTGTTGGGTTCTTTTTATACTTTGTCCATGACTCTTCCATTGTGTTGATGTTTTAAAAAAAGAAAAAAAAAAGAGGAAGATGTTGGAACAAACGGTAAATAGACACAAAAAGACCAACTCCAGGCAGCTACGTATGAGTGACTACTGTAAAATGACTAATAAAGAAGCAATGGGTTTGTTTTTCAGCTGCGTGTCTTTATTCAGCTCGACGTGTTTCATTCAGACAGACCTGCGTCACTTCACCTGCGCTCACCTGGCCGTGGCCTCTCTCCTCTAATTATATATTTAAAACATCTAATTATGAAGCACTTTTCTCAAAGTCCTAAAACAGATCAACACGGAGTCAGACACACAATCATAAATGTGTCAATATGAATGTCTGCAGCTGTTTTTAGTAAAAACCTCTGAATCAAAGTCGAGGAGCGACACCCAGCCTCTCTCTCTCATATATATATATATAAAATTTAAGCGCAGAACATTCTAAATATCCTGTCACTGACTGGAGCAGATTGGGATGAACGCAGGTTTTCATGCTCGAGTTCTCCAACATCGTGGCAGAATGTGTGACTCGGGTGTGATCTGTAACCCTCCTCACCAGAGCCATGTCTACAGCTGTCCATCACCCATCAGTGCGAGTCCAACTTATACTGGCAGCTGCAGGTCGGCCTGATGATGTGTCCATGCAGTGAGGTGATAGCTCCACCAGGGCCACAGAGCGCTGTCACAGTTCAGTTTTATTCATGTCGCTCCGAGTCATTACGGCGGTGTCCTGAGACCTTTTAATCGCGCCTGGTTTCAGAACTCTCAGATGATGATGGAGATGCTCGAGGCTTCCAGACAGGACCGACTAATGACAAGAGTCCGATCTCTCCTTCAGGAAGTCCTTTCCTTCAGCAGCACTTCCTGCTGCTCTCTGCGTGTTTGACCTGAACGATCACTTTCTGGTTCAGGCCTCACCACCTCCTCACAGCTCGGCCTCCCACCAGAGATGAGGAGCGGGGAGTCTAGGCAACAGAAAATAAAGTGAGCTCTCCTTTAATGGAGGCCACAGGCAGGAGGACGGAGGAGGAGCTTGAAGATTGAAAGGCTTTGACGACCTGAGGAGAAGCTGCTGACAGAACTGCTGACTTCCTGTAATTGCTTTTATACAGCGCTTTCATGTGACGTCATTGTTTATGTTTTTGTGTTTGGTGTCTTCTTCCTGTTTCACTCAGTCTGAGGACAGAAAACATGACATAGTCCTGCAGCAGGTTCACCGACACACTCACAGACACGTGAATCCAGCACCAACCAGCAGCTGGAGCGCAGAGCAGCTACAAGTACAAGTACTTAGTTACTTTCACGAGAGACTCCGTACGCCGAAAAGATCCAAGAGGCGCGTGCTGCTGCTGCGTTCCTGTGTAGCTCGGAATCCACAGCGCCTAGAGCTTTTATTCAGTTCGTGTTGTTCAGGCTTACATTAAAAGGGATCTTTGAAGAATGATCCCTTTCTTTTAAGAAAGAAAACGTTTTCAGCTGAGCAAACTTTAACACAATGACTGCGCTCAGTGTACTTTTTCCTCCAAACGTCTCATTTTGTCAGCTTTGGGCTCCATCCACCTCCCATCGGAAGGAGGCCCCGGGGCAGACCCAGGACACTGCAGAGATTATATGCTGGCCTGAGAACGCCTTGGTGTTCCTCCGGATAAACTGCGAGACGGAAGTCTGGGCCTCTCTGCTTAGGCTGCAACCCCGCTCTGGATAAACGGAAAAGAGTGGATGGATGGGTTCTATTGGGGGGAAGGCTGGAGCATATCCCAGCTACCAATTCAATTTAATGGAAAGGTATTTATAACACTAACAGCTGTTCAGCTGCATTTTAAAAGAAAATATTTTCAACTACATGAATAAATACATAAAAAAACTGTGTGATTCAAACTGCAGCAAAAATGTAACCATTCTTTTAGTGTTTTAATAACGAACATTAAAAACTAAGTAGAATAAGATATTATGTATTTGTGTAGTTTAAAAGTGATGTAATGATATCTATATTTTCAGTCATCAGCTCCTGCTCCTTTTCATGCATGGATGCAGTGTTGTTTTAATTCAAAGGAAGGTTTGTGTGTAGGAAATTAATTACTGTTGCACCATGTGTGAAAAATTACATGAAATGAAATCTCAGTGTACTGAGACAGGATGATATGGTGTCCGGCGGTCCCTGAAGGCAGCACGTTTTTTGGCGTCACTGCGTGATATCCCTCCGCGGGAGAGAAGCGCGCAGCCCTTTCCCTCCCTGTAGCACAGGATGCGAACGGGCGGCGGTGAAGCGACGAGACGTGACTCTGCGCCGACGCTGTCAACATTTCCCGCAACATCCGAGTGAAAATACGCCGAACGAAGACCGGGGAACCTCCGCCACCCGTATCACCGACTGAACCCGTCCTGTGCCTGACAACGACCGAGCTCCGTGGAAGAAATATAATCCGCTGTGGGCGCTGCGCGGCAACCGAAAGTGTCGGACTGAAGAGAGGCAGCCGGGGGAAGGAATGGAGCTCATCACGATTCTCGAAAAAACCGTCTCTCCGGGTGAGTCCCTGCATCACGCAGCGCACACAGCCGGCGGCCCGGGCCCGATGCCGAACGCCGGGCCGGGGGGTGCGGTGTTTGCGAGACGGCGGGCTGCCCGGAGCACCGGGGAAAGTTGGAAGCAGGGAGGAGGGAAACCATGCTAGCTCACTGTGCTAACCCGTTAGCGTTACGGCCTGACGCCGCTGGTGACTTAGCACTCTACCGGGCGTTTAAGCACACTATAATGGCATTGGTAACCCTTTAGCCTGTCGACGGGAAACCAGAAGACGTTGTCATATCGCCATCACGCGGATTCGGGCCCACATAGGCCGTAATGCCGGCTGTGTGTCCCCGATCAGAAGCCGCGACCCTGCCCATGCCCGGGTTAGCCGTTAGCTTCTTCGCTAGCTCGGGCCATTCAAACTGTCGGCCGCTTTCTCGGCGTGTTCTCCTGGGTAACGCCGCTTTAGAGTCGCTGCGGGCACAGGCGAGCGCCCTGGTTGTGAGTTGACCTCTGCTCCGCTGCTTTAAGCGGAGTTGGCGCAGTTTTAGCGGCTCCGCTGTTTGCACATAAAACTTCATGCGCGTCTCTGGAAACGTGTCGGCTAGCGTTAGCCTGCTAGCACAGTGCAGGTGGCTAGCGCGCATGTTGTAGGGTCTGTGTGCTTCTCGGTACCACCGATGGCTCTCACCGGGGCGGGAGTTAAACTTTCTGAGTCTGAGGTGAATCATTAGTGCGGGACATCCACCCCGGGGCCGGGTGCTTGTGTGTGAACGTCTGGTGAACACGTTTAACCACCGTGCGTTAGCCCGTCCGCTAACCAGCCCCCTCCTCTCTCCTCTGTCCGCAGACCGGAATGAGCTGGAGGCGGCGCAGAAGTTTCTGGAGCAGGCGGCCATAGAGAACCTGGTGAGTATGGAGGGAGAGCAGCTGGAGCTCAGGCTGCTGCAGGAGAGGAGCGGACAGGGACCGAGGACTGCTGGATCCCGCCGGCTTTTCCTCCTTCCTCCTCCCCTTCCTCCCTCTGCATTGGCACACACGCACGCACACTCTTCACATATGTGTCACAGTAAAAGCCTCCATTGGCTCCTGATATGACCGTGCCAGGGTCTGCATGCTTCAGCCACTTCAAGGTCTTCATCAGAGGGCGAAGCTGATGCTCCCACATTTCTACATACCCTTTGTGTGGTCCTGACCTTTGACCTTGCCCTCATATACTATTTAAGTACACATGCTAACTTCAACCAGAACAGGAAGTGGTTCATAGCGAGTATAAATATGTATGTTGAGCGAGTATATCTCTGTAAACGGGCTGTCTCTGCTGGTCACATGACTGCAGCTTTCTGTGACCAGGTGTGACCGGCAAGTGCGAGCAGGTGGGTCTCTGTGAAACATCAGTGTGAGGGTCACAGCTGTTCCAGGGTTTCTGTGAGGGTTGGATGCCGTCTCCACGGGTCGCCCTTCTTGACTGTGTGGTCAGGTTTGACTGATATTCTGTAGTGAGGGTGGGGCTTGATGAGTCAGGGTGTTGCGGTTACGTGGCTTACTTGTTACTCAGGGAAATGTTTAAATGTGTTGTCAGACGTGGTGACTGGCATGTAGAACTCCAACTAAAAGGTGCAGGTGGTGGGGGAGTCGGGGTAGGGCCGGTGGGGTTTGCAGTAAAGCCGCCATGGGGCTGTGGCGGTGTAGTTTGTGACCATGTGGGCGCTGTTGTCACGCGTCACTGGGAGACCAGGTGAGCCATCCTGAGCAGCAGGTTCACCTGAGGAAATGTTTCTTCCTGTTTATACACACAGACACTCCATACGATCGTCAGCTGTGTGAGGTGATGTCATCATCGGCGGGAACCAATAAAATCAAAGATGACTTTCTGTAGTTTCTTATTTTGTAGTTTTTGCCGTGTCAGGAAGATAAATATCAGACTCTGTGGTCAAATGGTCTCGGTGTTAGAGACAAAGGTAAGAACAGTTACCGTTTATCTCGCAGTTATAAATTAAGCCCCACCCCTTCGCTTTACAGTGTGTTGACAATAAAACTGTAAACTCGGCAGAGTGTAACCCGACCGAGTCAATAACTCCTGCCAGACGCTGCCATCGTGGCCAGAAAGTCCACTGATCTGATATTTAAAACTGACTGTTCAAATCCAGATGTTTCTGCTAGATCGTGGTTTCATGCTAAAGAATATCTGCACACACACACACACACACACACACACACACACACACACACAGTGCTGCTGTGGTCGTCTGCTCACTGCAGAGAAACAGTTAGTTGTCTGTCCAGAGAAAAATAAAAGTTCTGGTTGGAGCTGATTGAGAGCACCTGGACACCTGCAGGAGGCGTGATGCTGATGGCGTCCTGCAGACAGAAGAAACGTAGTTGGCAGTTCTTTGCTGTTTGCCTCTGTCTGCGTGTGCTACTGCCACCTTCTGGCAGGAGGAGCACGCTGCGTCTTGTCAGGTGTGAGGGGAAAAGTATTTCAGTCCAAAAATATCTTCGGTCAGCTTTCTTCTCTGGTCTGACGTCAGTTGTAGCTCGCCGTCCTTCAGCCTGAAGCAGAGCGACGGGGTCAGGTGTGCCTCACCTGTGCAGACAGAATGAATGGAAGCAGAGCGAGCGATCAAATCACTAAGTCTGTTTAATGCTCCGCCCAGCAAACTGACAGCGACTTAATGTTGACAAGCTAAAGTAAGACTTGATTCCAGGTCGGCGACCGATCTCTGGTTCCTGTTAGTGCTTCCTGTCTGTGATCGTACCTGCTGCCTTCTTGTTCACACGTTTACACCTGAAACCAGAGCAGCTGTTGTAACGAGAAGCTGTGTTTCAGCTCCAGTAAAAATCCCAGCGTCGTCGCTTCTGCACAAAGCTTCCTTCACTCTCACTGTTTCACCATAACTCAAACCAGATGTTTGACGTAATCAGTGACGCTCATCATGTGACCTTTGCTCCTCCTCCTTCAGCCCACATTCCTGGTGGAGTTGTCCAAAGTGTTGGCGAACCCGGGGAACACTCAGGTGGCTCGAGTTGCTGCCGGTCTGCAGGTGAAGAACTCGCTGACATCCAAAGACCCCGATGTCAAGGCGCAGTACCAGCAGAGATGGCTGGCCATCGACATCAACGCTCGCCGCGAGATCAAGAACTACGTAAGGGCCGAGCAAACCCCGCTCACCGTCCGCCACCGCCTCCACCTGTCTAACGGTTCCCGTGTCTCCGGCAGGTTCTACAGACTCTGGGCACGGAGACGTACCGGCCCAGCTCGGCCTCGCAGTGCGTCGCCGGCATCGCCTGCGCCGAGATTCCCGTGAACCAGTGGCCCGAGCTGATCCCGCAGCTCGTCGCCAACGTCACCGATCCGTCGAGCACGGAACACATGAAGGAGTCCACGCTGGAGGCCATCGGCTACATCTGCCAGGACATCGTGAGTCACGGCGAGCACGTTAAAGCACGCCGCCTGTTGTTACCCAAGTGTTCGCTCACCCAGCTGTTTTCCGCAGGACCCGGAGCAGCTGCAGGAGAACGCCAACCAGATCCTGACGGCCATCATACAGGGCATGAGGAAGGAGGAGCCCAGCAACAACGTGAAGCTGGCCGCCACCAATGCGCTGCTCAACTCGCTCGAGTTCACTAAAGCCAATTTCGACAAGGACGTACGTTGCTTTCTCCTAACTCCTCCCCCTTTTAATGTAACTTTATTTGCAGGGAATCACGATGACAAATGTGTACTTCCTGTTTCAGACGGAGCGACACTTCATCATGCAGGTCGTCTGTGAAGCCACGCAGTGTCCCGACACCAGAGTGAGTAACGCCAGCGTAATGCCCGTGACCTTTGACCCCTCAAATGCACTCACCTACTGCTCTTTCAGGTGCGCGTGGCGGCCCTGCAGAACCTGGTGAAGATCATGTCTCTGTATTATCAGTACATGGAGACGTACATGGGCCCCGCCCTGTTCGCGGTAAGACACCACAAACCTTTATTTAAACCCGAGAGTCAGTCGGCGGCGTGTCAGTCGGCGGCGTGTCAGTCGGCGGCGTGTCAGTCGGCGGCGTCTCAGCAGCGCCGCTACTCTTGTCACTTCCTGTTTCAGATCACCATCGAGGCGATGAAGAGCGACATTGATGAGGTGGCGCTGCAGGGCATCGAGTTCTGGTCCAACGTCTGTGACGAGGAGATGGATCTGGCCATCGAGGCCTCAGAGGTCAGTGTGACGCTTCCTTTAACCAACAGGAAGTTGTTTTTTACTTCCTGTTTGTTCACGGTTCGCTCTTTCTGTCTCGTCCAATCACAGGCCTCGGAGCAGGGACGCCCCCCCGAGCACACCAGTAAGTTCTATGCCAAAGGTGCGCTGCAGTACCTGATCCCCATCCTCACCCAGACCCTCACCAAGCAGGTAGCTCAGCTGTCGGAGCCTCATCCCGTTTACCTGTCTGTGGCTTTGAGTCTACCTGTTTAGCTCCGCCTTCTCCTCTTCCTGCAGGACGAGAATGATGACGACGACGACTGGAACCCGTGTAAGGCGGCCGGCGTGTGCCTGATGCTGCTCGCCACCTGTTGCGAGGACGACGTGGTTCCCCACGTGCTGCCCTTCATCAAAGAGAACATCAAACATCCCGACTGGCGTTACCGCGACGCCTCCGTCATGGCCTTCGGCTCCATCTTGGAGGGACCCGAGCTAAACCAGCTCAAGCCGCTCGTCATACAGGTGAGACGTTCGAGCAGCTCGCCCAGTCTTCTGTCTGTCACACAAATCCCTCTGTGTACTAAACTCCGCCCCCTCCTCCTGCAGGCGATGCCCACCCTGATCGAGCTGATGAAGGACCCCAGCGTGGTGGTGAGGGACACCACGGCGTGGACGGTGGGCAGGATCTGCGAGCTGCTGCCCGAAGCTGCCATCAACGAGGTCTACCTGGCCCCCCTGCTGCAGTGCCTGATCGAGGGCCTGGGGGCGGAGCCCAGAGTGGCCTCCAACGTCTGCTGGGTGAGTCGCCGGTCCGCGCTGGGCGTCATGTGGCCTTTGAGAGAGCTCTGTCAAAATGAACCCGACCTCAGATTTCGTTCTTCTTCGGTGGAAACCTTAACCTGTCGTCTCCTCCCTCAGGCCTTTTCGTCTCTCGCAGAGGCGGCGTACGAAGCCACGGATGCTGCCGAGGACCAGGAGGAGCCGAACACCTACTGCCTGTCCTCGTCCTTCGAGATCATCGTGCAGAAGCTTCTGGAGACCACAGACAGGTATGACGATGCTCACACATGCAGTCAGTCTGTGCCTCTGACGACCGCAGCCTGATGGCGGTGTGACCACTTCCTGGTTTCAGAGCGCAGAGTGAACTGCATAAAGAGCTGGCAGACGGCTTCCTGTCGGCTCGCCGATCGTGTCACAGCTGCTGTTTCCTTCACTTTAACACTTCGAGTTAACCGCTTAAATGATGATGTCATCACAGAGGTTTCTGTGATCGTGTCGACGTTTGTGGGCGGGGCTCGACAGCTGAATGCGCTCAGTCATCGGGCAGCCGTCGTGCCTCCTTGACAGCGCTCTGCGTACTAGTCTTTGATTGGTCTGTTCCTGTCTCTCAGGCCCGATGGTCACCAGAACAACCTGCGCTCTGCGGCGTACGAGGCTCTGATGGAGATCGTGAAGAACAGCGCCAAGGACTGCTACCCCGCCGTGCAGAAAACCACGCTGGTCATCATGGAGCGGCTGCAGCAGGTCCTGCAAATGGAGGTGAGGGCGCCGTCTTAGGGGCAGAGCGATATCGATGCCGTTGTGAGCATCGCTTGGATCTCAAAGTCATTCAAGAGAAAAAACATAGAGCTGAAATAAACTGGTTTGAGCAGACCAGGCAGCTTTTAATTTGAAAAGGCACTGGCTTCACGTCTCTTAACTTCCTGTCTTCCAGTCTCACATCCAGAGCACCTCAGATCGGATCCAGTTTAACGACCTGCAGTCGCTGCTGTGCGCCACTCTGCAGGTGAGACGGGACACCTGAGCCTTTCTGTGGTCATGCTCTTATTATGGCGGTTCTGAGTGTTTCCTGTGTGTGTGCAGAACGTCCTGCGTAAAGTGCAGCATCAGGATGCCCTGCAGATCTCAGACGTGGTGATGGCGTCCCTGCTGAGGATGTTTCAGAGCACTGCCGGCTCCGGAGGCGTGCAGGAGGACGCGCTGATGGCCGTGTCCACGCTCGTCGAAGGTACGCCACAGTTACTTGAGCGACTACACGGCGAGGGCAGTGACGTGTTGTGTTCAGAGGGCGCGGCTCTCCACGTGTCTCACTCTGCACGTTTCTCTTGCAGTTCTGGGCAGCGACTTCCAGAAATACATGGAGGCCTTTAAGCCGTTCCTTGCCATCGGACTGAAGAACTACGCAGAGTATCAGGTAGGACTCGCACAGCTGATCACCACTTCCTGTTTCACAGTTGCGGTCTGACCTCGGAGCTGAGAGGCAAGTTTGCTGTTTATGGAGGAGGAGCTCTGATGTCATCACTGACTCAGACGTCACAGTGTTGATGATGTCATTGACGTGTTGCTGCAGGTGTGTCTGGCGGCCGTGGGTCTCGTGTGCGACCTGTGCAGAGCGCTGATGTCCAACATCCTGCCGTACTGTGACGAGATCATGCAGCTGCTGCTGGAGAACCTCGGGGTGAGGAGGGGGAGGAGCTCCTTCGTCTTTATTGACATGCACCACACTGACCGTGATGTGAAAACCACGTTTATCTGAGACTTCCTCTCTCATCACTTCCTCGAGTTTTTCTGCACATGCTCAGTGGCAGGAGCACTTCCTGTGTGGCACAGATTTGGGCCACAGCGCCGTTAGCTGGCTGCTCTGACATCAGTGAAGCTGTAGAAATTCAGTTCCATTCCAGTCAACCTTTGACCCCCACACAGTCAGCTGGTTCAGTTTCCACATTAGCTCCCGTCTGCCCCTCACAGGGTCGGTCCAGATATTCCGACCCACAGTCACATGATGATCCAGGTGTAGCAAGCAGCCACCTGTTCACAGGTGTGGATTATTGATCCCAGACTTCACCTTCCTCTGGTGCTGTTTGATCACCTGATGGACATTTAACAGCTGCCGTGTTCCAAAGCAGTCTTTGTGCCGCTCACCTGTCTGACCCTCTCACAGGTGTGCAGATGTTAAACGTTGGTCTGTTTACAGAACGAGAATGTGCACCGGTCGGTGAAGCCTCAGATCCTCTCTGCGTTTGGCGACATCGCTTTGGCCATCGGGGGCGAGTTCAAGAAGTACCTGGACATCGTCCTGGACACCCTGCAGCAGGCATCGCAGGCTCAGGTGGACAAGGTAAAGCCCCGCCCCTTCAGATGTCTCAACACACACTGAATCTTGAACTTGGGCTTCGAGTGTAGAAATGCTCAGCTTAGATTCGGACGTCTGTGATGAAAACTCATGCACCACGCTGACCGTGATGTAAAACCAACCACGTGTATCTGAGACCTCTGACCTCACAGATTTACTTCCTGTCTGTCCGAGTTCACCTGACACATCTGAACCTGTGTTTCAGACGGACTACGACATGGTGGACTACCTGAACGAGCTGAGGGAGGGCTGCCTGGAGGCTTACACCGGCATCATCCAGGGCCTGAAGGGAGACCAGGAGAACGTCCACCGTAAGGACACACACACACACACACGGACAGACGGTCTCTCTGGCAGCGTCTGTCCTCAGGTGTCTGGGGCTACCTGGTTGTCTAAGTGCTAACGGTTATCGCTGTGATCGCATGACCACAGCTCCAGCGACGTCAGTTCCTCTTCCTGCTTGCAGTCAGCAGGAGGCTTTAGTGATGTCGCAGACAGACGTGGGTCCTTTTCACCCGGGAAGCTTTAGGCTGCCGCCGAACTCACAGCTTCCTGGTTTTGCGGGACCCAACAAATAAAAAAAACCTCCTGTTTGCTTTACTTGCTCTCTCACCCTCATCTCCTCTCCACCCCTGCAGCCGACGTGATGCTGGTGCAGCCTCGGGTGGAGTTCATCCTCTCCTTCATCCACCACATCGCCGAAGACGAGGACCACTCTGACGGCGTGGTGGCCAACGCTGCCGGACTCATCGGGTAAGCAGGGGGCAGAGCTGAAGCTCGACCATGTTGGTCCAACATGGAGATCTTATCAGGAGGTCACAGCCAATCAGAGGGTTCCTTTACCCCAGAACACTTCATGCTCAGATCAGATATCACAGAGCAGCTTTTATGGTTTTATTTTGAAGGAGCTAAACTTCCTGTGGTCTGCACCACAGCTGATCAGCGAGGGTCACATGGTTCAAAGTCTAAGGCGTTGTGGTCGGTGAAGAGAAATCATGCACCACGCTGATGGCGTGATGGAAAACAAACCGCATCCTCTGAGACCAGCACGGTTACCCTGGCGATGCTCCAGTGTCCAGCTTGAGAGCTCAGATTCTTTTCACATTAAAAGCCTCAGTTTGTTTGACGTGTGTGTTCCGTAGTGACCTGTGCACAGCATTTGGGAAAGATGTGATGAAGCTTGTGGAGGTTCGCCCGCTCATCAACGACCTGCTGACGGAAGGCCGGCGCTCCAAAACCACCAAGACCAAGACGCTCGCCACCTGGGCCACCAAGGAGCTCCGCAAGCTGAAGAGCCAGGCCTGGTGAGGGTGGAGGCATGCTTCTCGTGGCTTCTCTGCGTCACTTCCTCTCTAACCCCTCCTCTCTCTCTGTGTCTCTTGCAGATGGCGGGTGTCGTGTCAGGGCGAGATGAGACTTCGGATGACATCACTGAGGACAAATCGGCCGCTGGATTAAATCTTCTGTGTTTGTCGGCGTTTCGCTCGAAGCAGCAGAAGAAGAGATGAGTGTCTGTGTGTGAGCGCGAGAGAGAGACGTGTGAGCGAGCGAGAGATGATGACATCACACCACCTTCAGTTCCTGCAGGCGATGACCCCTCCCCCTCCCCTCTTGGATGGCCTGTGGACTGGACTGTGACTCCTCCCCCTTAAAGAAACCCCCTCTCCTTCCACTCCTCCCCCGCCTCTGCCCGCGATCCGCCTCTTTCGCTGTAGCTGGGCTCTCCTATGACATCGTGATGATGTCACCGACCTGCCGCCGCCACCCCCCCTGCTCAGGGGGAGGGGGAGGAGGGGAACTGTGTGGAATCAGCTGATCGAGTGACTGCGTGGACTACTTCTTCTGTGGAAAACTGGATTTTTGTTGCTCTTACGTTTCTTCTTCTGAGCACTAAACATGGCGGCGGAGCTGTGAGGGACGGATGCCTCCGCCCGCTCGGTCTCCTCCAAACAACGGCAGCACTAAATTCCTTCAAAATAAAAGCCGAAACGATGCTGAGAGGAGCGAGTGCCAAATGGGAATAGTTTAGCCCGGGCGTGAGCGAGTGCCGCGAGCTGCCTCGGGTTTCCTCGCCGCCGCGCCTGCTTTGGGAACGGGTCACTCACCTTTTTGCTTGTTAAGATTTCAGATGATTGAAGACGTTTGTATGAGGTTCTATTTTTCCATTGCTATGATGAAAATAAAGTTAAAGTGATACAAAACATTCCCCGAGCTCTTCTGTGCTTTCGCTCTTCTTCTTCTCGGACTCCTGGACTCAAACGTTTTGGACTCTGCTGATTGGACGCTGAGCTCTGGCTGTCTCCCACTGTTGGCTTGTTTATTCGACGCTACAAAGAACCATGATTTTTGTTTTTTGGAACTCACTTTATGGCTTGTTCAGTAGCAGTGAGGCAGTCGCTCCTCGCTACTGGGTGACTTCCTGTTGGGACGGTTTCAAGAAAAACAACAAAAAACCCCAACACTGACACGAAGCTTAAACGCTGCAGAGCGCGCTCATTGCCGCCTCTACGGCCGGAGAGCTTTGCTTTCAGTTGGTAAATATGATGGTCACTGAAAGCCAAGTGGCTCTGGCCTCTGAGGCTTTTATTTTGTAGAGGCGCGACAGCTGTAGGGAGGAAGCACTTCCTGTGTTGACATGAACCTGAAAGTTTTATTTCTGAATTGTGAATCATTTGAAGCCGATCTGCTTTTTCTTTCATATTCAACTTTAGTGAACTAATAAAGTCTATATTGTACTGACCGTCTGCTGCTTCTTCACAACGCTACTGCTTCCTGCTGGAGTCTGACAAAATAAAAGCCTCTCACTGCTCTACATCGGGGCTCAAAGTCAATCCTGATGCGATGGGTGAAGCAGTGTGTGGTGTCACGTGACCTCATGAGTGTTTTATTTTATCTGCTTTGCCTCAAAACAAACGCTCTTCCTCTGCACCAGACTGCATTCACAAAACTCCTGATGTTACCTGAGTACAGGTGAGCTGCGACAGTTGGGACTTCAGTTTAAAACATTAAAGTACAACACTGAGGATTCAGGTCCCAGCGGTGCTCAGATGTGCTGCTAAAGGCGGGCGCAAGCTCTGTAGCACCGCTATAAAATCGACATGAAAAGCTAGAGTATTGTAAAGCTTGTCGGGCCTGTGTGTGTGGAAACGGGTTATTCATAAGAATCTGCAGGTAAGGGGTGACGGGCTGGCTCAGCGTGCGTCACGTGTCGCCTCCACGGTTTCTGAGCAGCTCGTTATGCGCTCAGCATTACGGAATATCCTTTAAATCTTTCTAAATGTGTTCTGGATGGTTCAGTGTTTCCTGCAGCGCGTCCTTGCACTGCAGGGTTAAAAAAAACAACTGGTTTTGGCTGTCACAGAGCACCGGACTGGACCCCGGGCCACATGTTGGACACCCTGTCCTGCATATACACACAATGGAAATGATAAACCAGCTCTCTGTTGCTGTGGAAACAGCTGAAAAATGCACAATAATGGAAAGGTTTTCTGTTTCGCTCGCCAAAGCAGCACCTGTGGGCTCTAGAGGCTCACCTGTTGAGCTTTGAGTTTCCCTGCTCTCCGCTGTAGCTCAGGTCAGGTGTTCCTGCTACGAGCACAGGTGAGAGCAGCAGCGCCACCTCCTGTCGATGAGCCATACACTAATAATACAATGATGACCACCCACGGGCCTTACTTTGAGAACCTGACTTTCTCCTTCAGACCTCAGAGGGATTTTCGGGAATGATGATGTTTTCCATTGATCTGATTGGCCCGTAGGTTGTTCCTGATGAACCACCTTTGAGACCTCGAGAATCAATGATTCACTTTTTGTTTTTCTTTACGTGGTCATCGGACATCAGTTGTCGACTCGTCAGCCTCTCAGTCTGCGTTTCACATACAAGTTATGGACTGTTGGAGAAGCCTCTGACGTCACTCTTAGCTTCAGTTTCCCGGTCAACTCACTTGCTCTCCGGCTGCTGCGATGGCCGAGAGGTTAAGGCGTTGGACTTGAAATCCAATGGGGTCTCCCCGCGCAGGTTCGAACCCTGCTCGCAGCGACTTTTTAATAAAGTTCAAACACTCCCCTGAAAAAGCTGCACGAGCCGGAAACAGCCCAGAGAGTACGCGTCACACCAAAATAAAAAAGGAACTGTATGAGGATGAATTAAAACCAATGACTGTAGAAACCAGTCATTGATTAAAACACACAGACACAACACCGATAAGTAAAATAAGTATATTAATAATGTTTTGTAAACTCAAAGAAGAAATATAAAAAACAGAAACAATAAAAGAAATCATTAAAAAAAATCCAACCAACTGAAAAACAATAATTAAAAATAATACCTGTATATTACTGCATAATAATTAAATGAAATAAAACTTTACTACTGTTCGTAACATTAAAATTTTAAAGTGATCCACTAAAAGCGAATAATTTTTTTCCCATAAATCTTCATTTTCCCTCAATAAACGACAACAATCGTCATCATCATCATGAGGCTGTCAGATCCCGGCAGGTGTTCGGTTCCCTCCGTTAATCGTTTAGCTATGATCGGTGATCGATCCTGCGTGCGCAGCCCCGCCTCCCGCCGTGTTGTCTGACCGGAGGATGAGGAGTCTTTAGGAGGCTAACAGCTAACGTCACGGAGCGGCGGCACCGGGATCGTTTCTCTCGTTCCTTCATGTTCTGACGTCGTCCAGCGGAGCCTTCGCCGTCACGAACCGGACCGGACTTCACATGTCCGCGGCTGTGCGCTGCCGGTGGCCCGGGTAGCTCTGCCGGGAGATGCGGCAGCAGCTAGCAGCTAGCCGTTAGCCCCGCAGCTGTTATGTAAGAGCGGAGCGACTAGCCGCGCAGCTAACGTTAGCCGCCGCCATGAATGACGCGCAGCAAGAAATGTCTCCGGACTTCGTGCTCATGCGGCTCGTGTCCGCCGCGGAGTACGACCGGCTGGACGACCCCGACGAGCTGATGTCCGGGGGCGGCGGGTTCGGCCCCGTCAAAGCCGTGCTGGGCCGCCGCGGCGGCGGGTTCGATGTGGACTCTGGCGGCCCTTCGGCAGGCCTCGGCTCGGCTTCCCCGCATTACAGCTCCCCGCTGCCCGGGAAAGGAGAGCTGAGCGGCGGGCTGGGGCTGACGCACGCCCCGTCGGGCTCGGAGGCGCCGTTGTCGCCCCCTCCGTCCGAAGACTTTGTGGACTTCTCGGTGCCGCGTGGGCACGGCTCTGCGGGGCACGGAGCGCAGCTAATGGTGCTCCAGAACTTGCTGCGGTCCGGAGACCGGATCCTGGAGTGCGGGCTGGAGCAGCCGCCCCCTGGCTTCCTGCAGGAGGAGGCAGAGCGACAGAGACAGCAGCTAGACCCGGTGCCCGGCACGGGTCCTGGCAGCGCGACAGCTGGTCCCGGGGGAGGAAAGGACCAGAACCCCCCTGCGCAGGAAAACCTGCAGCCGCAGCAGCTGTTGCAATGGCACCCGGTCCTGAGGCTGGGCTCCCAGGCCCCCCAGCGGGGCGTCCCGGCTCTGGACTCGGAGTCCGGGTCAGTCCTGTGCCACACACACCACCTGCTGACAGACCGGCTGGCTAAGTGGCCCCCGGGCCTGCTGGACCAAGCCCTGCGGGCGGGGCTGCTGGAGCCCAGGAAGACCTGCCCCCCCAGGTGTCAAGACCCGGTCCTGGCTCCGGCCCAGAGGCCAGTACACCCGGGCAAGGTGAGGGAAGGAAGTGGCGGGCAGGAACTGGTGCTCTCGCTTCCTCGCTGTTCCTGCCATGGCGTCCTGGCCTCGGGGTCCGGGGGCATCGGGCCTGGCGAGGACCCCAGCGAGACGAGCGACGCCCTGCTGGTCCTGGAGGGTCTGGGGTCAGAGGAGGTGGGGGGACTCGCGGCAGAGTCCAGGGATGCGGAGGACACAGAGAAAACAGAGCGGGTGGTGGGTGCAGGGACGCCTGGGGGGGCGGGGACTGTGTTCTCCAGTGGGACTCTCAGCGGGCTGATGCGGCAGGTGCACAGACTGGCAGAGGAGGCGGGAGTGTGCACAGATCAGAGCTGCCGGTCCTCACTCGCCGTTCTCGGCGCCACCGTGTCCCTCCCCTCCTGCGTGGACCCCCAGCCCCTCATCGGCAGCACCGCCACCCCCTGCCCGTACCTGCCTGTCCGCCCGCCACTGTCCCAGGCTGCTGCGGTGCTCCCCGACCCCCTCCCATCCTCTGACCCTCGCTCTCGCCCACAGCATCAGCACCAGTCGCGCTCCCAGCCCCAGAGCCGTGCCGCTACCCCCAAACTGGGTGTGGCTTCTGGGGCAGCGGGTCGGTCAGCCTCCCCTCTGGTGGTCCTGGAGGGGGAAGGGGGTGCAGGAGGAAGGGAGGGGGAGAAGATGCCCCGGGGGAAGTCGAGGAAGGGGGGGTCACTGAAGGTCCGGCTCAGCAAGCTATTCAGAACCAAGAGCTCGAGTGGCGGCTCGGGGGGGCTGCTGGACAAGAGGCCGTCCCTAGCGTCGTCCACGTCGTCGGGGGGCAGCCTGTTGGACATGTGGGGGTCCACCTGCAGCAACCCAGACCAGGATGGCAGGTGAGGTCCCAAACTGATCAGGTAGTATTGATTAATCAGCTGCTTAGTTTCTCTGACATCACAGAACGGATCAGAGCGAATCGGTGACCTCGTTTTTGTTCAGAGGCGACTCACTTCCTGTTTCCTCGAAGCGGGGCATTTCCTGACTGTCTCATTTTTCTTGCGGCCGATCGAATGGACTTCATGTTTCGTATTCCTGTGCAGCTCACAGTGAAAGTGTCTCTGATCATGTGACACTGATTAGTGGGGTGTATTGTTGTAACCATGGATACTGAAAGCACCTGGGCAGGTGAGAGTCAGGTGACACCAGGTGTTAGATTGGATCAGTTTTTATTGCCAGATAAACACTGACTTTACCTGTCGGCACACAGGAAGTGAAACTGCCCTCTCCTCAGGATGCTTCCTCGAGCAGCAGGTTAGTTTGTGTTGACACAACTAACCTGCTCACCTGCAGTCAGTGTGACGGTGTACACGTGACATTTCACCCCCACAGTCACACTGACTGTAGTGTGAAACAAAGCAGTCGCTGTCCACCAGACTCAGACCACAGCCTCTGTCGGCAGGTGTAGGGCGTGTTTTTGTGTCATGCTGGTGTTTGAAGGGGTCACTTTGGATCTGAACGAACTCCAGGCATCGAGGGCCGGTGTCCTGCAGGTTTTAGATGTGTTCTTGAGCCAACACAGCTGCTTTAAATGACCTCCTCAGCATGCCGTAAAGTTCTCCAGAGGCCTGGTAATGAACTAATCATGTGATTCAGGTGTGTTGACCCAGGGTGAGATCCTAAACCTGCAGGACGCCGGCCCTCGAGGCCTGGAGTTCGACACCCCTGCTTTAAAGCATCAAAGTGTCCTGAAGCTTTTCTTTGAGCTGAAATGTTTATTCTGAGTGGAGTCGGGTGGTTGCTGATTCTCACTCAAGATCGCTCCCGTGGATACGAACATGTTGACGAGTTGCAGCGTTAAAACCTTCGTGCCTCGCTCTGCAGTCAGGATGAAGGTGATGGTGCTGATGGTGTTGTTTGTGTCTTCAGGCTGCAGGTATCCAGACCTCACAGTGCCTTCTCTCCGGTGCCCTTCACTCCGGCTTTCACCGGTGAGTCCACACAGCTGTGAGTGTGTGAGAGGTGAACAGGTGAGATGTTTTTACCTGAGTTTGTGTGACTGAGTGTTTTCAGCAGCTCTGAGTGGCCAGTTTATTAGGAACTCCTCTATAAGCTCGTTCACGCGTGCTCTGCAGCCGCGAGAACGTTAAACGCTCTTTAATGTGCGAGACCAGGTGAGCAGAGGGCAGGTGAAACTCATGTGACCTGCCTCTGATCAGCAACCCAAAAATGTCACATTAAATACATCAAGTATGTTTTTAAGAAAATATTTTTAATATTTAATTTATTTCTGAATTTGACAGTTGTGGTCCTCCCAAACTTGTGGGGTGCTCCAGTGTGTGTGTGGGTGGAGCCAGGTGCTGGGGGCGGGGCGGTGTGGGTCTGTGCAGACCTGCCCGCGGTCACAGTCGGGCCGGGTCAGAGACTCCTCTGCTTCGCGGTGTCAAACATGCGGCCCGGGGACCAATCGGCTCTTCATCGATTATTATTTATGTTTTATTCCGAAAAACGAAACTTTTTTCCTGTTTTGCTCCTGACACGCCCCCCTCTCCTCTCAGCGCTGCTTCTGTCTGATCACATGACTCAGCAGGTCAGCTGATCACTCTGCTCGCTAATCTTTCCCTCTCTCCTCTAACCCCTCCCTCTCTCTGCTTTCACCTGTGTCCAGGTGAGACGGTCTCTCTGGTCGATGTGGATATTTCTCAGAGGGGGGGGAACTCTCTCCACCCCCCCACTCCTCCTCCCCCTCCCAGACGGAGCCTCAGTCTGCTTGGTACTTCCTCCTTCTTTCTGCTTCCTGTTTGCACTTCCTCCTTCTGTGTGTGTGTGTGTGTGTGTGTGTGTGTGTGTGCGCGCCGTGACTCTTAGGTGAGTTTCTGCTCTCACGGGTTTTCGTGGAATTGTTTTAATCGTCTCATTGAAGGACTTTAATCCTCTGAGGACCAATCAGAGGCAGTATTCTGTTTTAGAATTGTTACTTCGTATAAAGTTGCATTTTTTGGCTCTTTTATTATTTTAAATGTTTTTTTGCAGATGATTTTGGGGGTCCTCCTCAGCAGCACGGCCCCTTCATGGAGCGCAGCACCGGGGCCTCCATGCAGTCGCTGCCCCCCCGACCGATGGCCCTGCCCCCCTCCCTCAACACCATCCAGCACAGCCTGAGCCTCAACGGTAGCACACACACACACACACACACACACACACACACACACACACACACACACACACACACACACACACACACGTCATTAATGGCATATGTGTTTATTTGCTGATGCGTTTCCTGTTCAGGTTTATTTTCTGTTTTTTACTGTGTTTATTTTTAGCTTTGACTCATGAGCACATTTGTCATTGTTTTGCTTTTCAATAATTAAACTTCAAACATCAATTGTGACAGTTTGTTTTTACGTCCTGATTTTCGTTTTTATCTTTGTTCTGTAGCTGTATTTGTTTATGTAAACTCATGCCCCCCCCCCATGTCCTTCAGACACCTTCCTGCGAGGTTTACCTCGACCCGTCCCCCTGCGGCCCGACGGGCAGCATCCGCCCCCCCGGCTCGCCCCTCGCTGCCCGCTCAGTCGACCCGATGCCGGCAACTTCGCCACCAGCCTCAGGGAGCTGGAGAAGGTGGAGCTACTATCGCCTGCTTTTGTAGCCTGTTGTGCGAGTGGGCGGAGCTAACCTGTGCATCTGCTTTCAGTGCGGCTGGTACTGGGGGCCGATGAACTGGGAGGACGCTGAGATGAAGCTGAAGGGGAAACCGGACGGCTCGTTTCTGGTGCGGGACAGCTCAGACCCGCGCTACATCCTGAGTCTGAGCTTCAGGTCGCAGGGAATCACACACCACACACGCATGGAGCACTACAGAGGTAACGCACACACACCTGTGCAGCGCCACGCCTCGCCTGTGAGCCTGCGTCCCCGTCTCACGGTTTCTCGTCCTGCAGGGACGTTCAGCCTGTGGTGTCACCCAAAGTTTGAGGACCGCTGTCACTCGGTGGTGGAGTTCATCGAGCGAGCCATCATGCACTCCAAGAACGGAAAGTTCCTGTACTTCCTGCGCTCGCGAGTCCCAGGTACCAGCATCCAATCAGCTCCAGGATATCTGTGGCTGCACAAGCGCATGACATAGCCTCGGACGCACCACAAACACGTGGCTGCAGCCGCTCGTCATTAGATTCTAACAGGGAGCCTCGTGGGTCACAGCCACACTACTCAACTACGCAGCCAGTGTGACCTCGATGTTTGTCCAACCCTGAAGCTGCGTCCATGTTTCGTGCTGTCAGTGATGCTCCGTGTATTATATTATATATGGGGGGGGGGGGTTGATAGGTTTATAGGATCCAATGAAGACATTAGTTCATCTACATTACCTTCACAGACAGGACATTTTACAAGTACACTCAGTAAGTATCTGGACACATCAGCGTTAGTTACAAAGGCTGGCTGTCCACAAATATGTTCCTATAATAATTACTGGACTTTGAATTGATTCGCCTTTTGTCCGGTTCACTTTCCTTGATATAAAATCTTTATTTAATATATTTTGAGTTTCGTGTCCTTGTGTGTTCAGGTCTGCCGCCGACCCCAGTCCAGCTCCTGTACCCGGTCTCCAGGTTCAGCAGTGTTAAGTCTCTGCAGCATCTCTGTCGCTTCTGCATCAGACAGCTGGTCCGGATCGACCACATCCAGGAGCTGCCGCTGCCCACGTACGTACCCGCCTGAGCGCTCCCACGTCAGACACGGTCCTCCTGATCGTAGAGACGCAAAGCTGACGTTTATCTGTCCCGTGGATCTTTTTCATGACACGAGATCCCGCGGTCCTCGAAGGACGCCGGGCGAGGATTTAAAACAATGTTGAAAATAATCATATTGACCCAAAACAAAACGTATGAAGGGCTGCAGCGTGACTGAGACCAGTGGCGGGTTTCTCTTTAAAGCATCATTTGGTTTAGTTTCCTTGTGCAGCTTTTGTTTATTTGATCCTTCATGTCAGTTTCGCATGTTTGGTTTGATCATGTGATGTAACTGCAGGTAGAGTCTCACCTGTGACTCATTACAGCCCGTTTCATGCACTCTCACGGTGACCTGCTGTTAGCGAGCACACCAAAACATGACAAAAAGCTAAAGCTAGCTGAGAGCCTCGGTATGAGTAACGGATCGAAGGTGATCTAACGCCGTCGCTGTGATGGAGACGATCCAGAGCGGCGTCCTGTGATCTGCTGAATTGCTGTTACTAAAAAAAATCAGTCGGTGCGTGTCTGCGTCGAGGTCCATGTTGTAAAAACGCGCCTGAATGTCGGAGAGTGTAAGCGAGCCGCTAACATCTGTCCTGGCTCCCCTCAGGCCTCTGATCGCCTACCTGAGGAAGTTTTATTACTACGACCCCGAAGAGGAGATCAGCCCCACGCTGAAGGAGGACAAGGAGCGGGGGACGGAGGGCGGCGGCCAGCCGGGGGTCGAGTCACAAACGTAGCACCGGAGCCCGAAGCCGGCGTGAGTCATCTTCACGTTTCAGACACGCGCTCAGACCAAAGCTTTTATTTTTATTTATTTTTTAGCTGTTTCAGAGCAACTTGAAAGTGTCAGTTCCCAGTGATGATCACTGTGTGCTTTATTAATAACTGCTAACAGGACGCAGATGCTCTGTTAGCATGATGGTTTGTTTCTTTTAGTTTGTCACAGAATTTTATTATTTTTTCACCTTAAACAACTGATTTCCTTACAGACAGAAGTAATGAGATTACATTCATGATTAGGTTTTTGTGTTAGACTGTTGATGCTAAGCTAACACAGATAAGTTTGCACTGTAGTGATGACAGCGTCTCCTCTTCTTCTCTCTCTGCAGTTCTTTCCTTTTCTTTGTTTCTCGGACTCGAACACTGAAGGATGTTCAAAAATCAAGCTGAACTCTCAGACTTCAGCCAATCGGCTCCCTCCGCTCAGTCCCGCATCCGGGCGGGTTTCAGATGATCCACCCTCCTTTGAGCTCTCTGATCGGCTCACGGGGAGTCGACAGGGGAGGGGCCGGGGATGTGGAGACTCCGCCTCTCTTTTGATGTCATCGCTGAGCAGCCAGACGGCGATGTTAGCTAAAATCAGTAAAAGAGAAAGGAGCTGAGAAAGTGTCGGTCGCCTCTGGGGTCCTCTGACGATACGAGAGGGTCTCTGATCCCGAGAGCAGAAGGCGGTACAGATTTATCCCAGCTCAGAGCTCGGCGCAGCACAAAGTGTGAGAGCGTCCCCTGAATGCACCAAAAGGTCTTTAAATGAATAAAACATCACAGAAATAAACGAATGATTGTACGGAGCCCCGCAGGGGACATGGAGGAAGAAAAAAATTAAGACGGACTTTTGCGGGACCTCGCAAAAGTTTTAGCCGCATTCTTCGGAGGCCGCCGGCTCGAAGCCGACCAGGAGGTCGAGGCACGATGTGCCGGGAAAGCAGTGTTCCTCCCGGCTGTAGTAGGTCTCGACCTCCCGTCAGCTTCGAGATGGCGGGTGTCAGATCTCCGAAAACGTCGGAGCACTTTTGCAAATATGTGATGTCTTGTAAACCGAGCAGGTATCTGACGTTTACACAACTACATTCACGCCTCAAAATATCTTAAGTGTATTTTGTGACACAGAAAGAGGAATATTACAACTAAGCAGCTGCCGCCATTGTTGGAATTCAACTTTTGCGCGATCTCACAAAAGCACGTCTTAATTTTTTTTCTCCCATGTCCCCTGCGGGGCTCCGTATGATTGAACCTTTTAAAGCTAAATTTAAGCAGCTTTGATTCGTCGGATAAGCTGATTCGTAACTTGATTGATCATTAAGATTTGATCGGCTTTAACATGCAGAGCGGTCAGCATCAGCTGTGAGCTGGGAGTCTGATCCATAGATCCTCAAACGTCTGCCATCTGTAAGAATGTGGGAGACCTTTCTGGGTTGAGGATGACGTCCTTGTGATGTTCGCGCTGCCGCTGAAGCGTGAGCAGCTCTCGTCTGATTGGCTCGGAGACGTCCGCCGTCTGCTGCGCCGTCGTGTAAAGTTGTTTACTTTCATATTTGCACTGAGCGACTTTTGTGAGTTTGGCCCGATCCTGAAGATGAGTCCTCGCAAACCGCTCCCCGTTCGTCGATCTCGTGTACGCTGACACCTTTGGTACGATTTTTGCACTGCAGGTGAGGAAAGGCGGAGTCTGAATGTAGGTGTGGAGCTCCAGGAAGAGGAGCGCGCTGTGAATGTCACTGAAATATTTCCTGAGTATGAGCCTAGGTCAGCTTCGGGGTTTTATCATTGAGCTAGTGGTACTTGGTCGTCCTTTAGTTCCCGCAGCGGCGTTTTCTCCACGGTCTCGAGCCGCGGGGAGTCAGCTGACCCTTCAGAGAGCGACAGGTGATCGTGGACGCTCGTTTTCTTCCTTCAGCTCGCTTAGATATGAGCAGACGTTGAAGGCAGAAACTCTGACAGTGATTCATTCACCTATAACACGTCCCAATGAGATCAAACCCCGCCCACTCGCACACCTTTGCACACCTGACCAACCACCGCACAAAACAGAATCGTTCAAAGTTACAGAGAAACGGACAGAAACGACCCGACTCCATTAAAAGTGTGGTGTGAGGTGGAGGGGTCGGGCGGTGTTTGAAGCTCAGTTTGAATATCGGAGTTGAATACGAACAGCACAAAGCGAGTGTTTCCTTCATGCATCTGGCCTGTAACGCGTCGGTGTGTGAGGCGGCGCGCTCAGTACGGCGGCCGGGATCCTGGAGGCGACCACCGCTCCGCCTGTCGGGGCGTCATTACCAAAAAATAAGAAAAGAAGAAGAAACAGGACGACTACTGTGACGACTACTGAACTACAGCTTCCCCAAGCTGCACTGGAACAAGCTGGCGTTCAGATGAACTGGACTTGAGTGCATTCAGACACTGGGAAGACTGGAACGCTGGAGCTGGGATGTGAGTGCCCTGCGGGCACTTCCATGATGTCAAACGGTGAACGTGGGGGTGAACCTGCACCTGCAGGTGTGCTTGTCTGTGGTGTGGGGGGTAGTAATCTGTGCTTGTCACCTGTTAATAAAACAGTGTGGGCGGGACCAAGGCGCTCTCCTTCTTTGATCTGTACACAGGTTCCATGCTTCCAGGAATCGGCCCCTCTGGTGCGATACGGCAGCCTGGCTTCTGTCAGTCTGCCCCAGGGCAGCTGTGGCTGCAGCTGTGGCTCAGTGTGTGAATGAATAGTGGCATTGTAAAGCGCTTTATAAATCCAATCCATCATCATCATTATTATTATTATTATTATCATTATTATCATTAATATTGTTATTAATTCAAAAGGCAATCCTGAAAACCAGAGTCTGCTGTGCAAAAGTCTTGAGCCTCAGCTCATGTCTTTCTGTTTGCAAAGAGCCGACTCGGTGATTGTTTAAGTTGACCAATACTTCTTTAGCTGCTGAAGGCTTTCAGTCCAGTCCTTGGCCCTGACTGTTTTCAGACCAATGTTTTTGTTACGCTGAACTCTGACCTTTGAACCTTTCAAGCGTCATGAGGCTCCGAGGAGGTCCAACAGTGAGTCTGCAGCCGTCTGTGACGCATGGTGGAGGCGCGGTCATGGTTTCAGCTGCACGTCAGTGCTGTTCTTTGATAAACTGATGAGCTATGAGAAAGCGGAGTTGAGACTGTGCTCACACCAGCTTGTTCGTGTGATTCAAACTGTTCCTCACTGATATTCTGTATTTCATGAACACGGTTCACAAAATCACTGCAAAATATGAAAAAGTGAGGGAGGCTCGAGACTTTTGCACAGTAAAAAGTCTGTGGAAGTGACGGAAGTAAAAGTACATGTGTGTGTTCGGTGTTTTATTAATTCATAACAGCCCCTCGAGGTGCTTTATATAGAACAGAGATGATACAGTGTTAGGAGAGCGAGCGGTCGGATGATTGCAGCACTCGGTGAAAGTAGGAAGGAAAAACTCCCTTTTAACAGAAACGGGCTCAGAGAGGGAGGATGAGAGAAAACAAGCTCTGGCAGAGAGCTGATGGATTTATAAAAGCATATTTTAAAGGACCTTCGTCCGGCCCTGAAAACGCTTCTCCTGCACAAAGAAGTCCGAGATTACAGCGAGAACTTCCAGCTGTGTTTCAGCTCCAGGCTGACAGCGCTGCTTCGCACAGATCTGAGAAGCAGAGCAGCTTCACCAACAGCTGCTGTTCATTCGACTCTTCCTCTGAACCAGCTTCAGTGTTTGCTTCCTCCCCCGAGGTCTTACCTATTATTACCTTGATGCAAACAAAGTGAATTGATGTGCTGATGCATGCTCAGGCATCCAGGTAAGGAAATCCCAAAATGATCAGAGGTGATGACAATTTGGATATTGATCATAAACGGACCTCCCAGCTTCATTCAGTGGGCGGGTTTCAGTCACTACTGCTTATAAGGTTGGAAACCTGCAGTCAGCTGAGACTGAAGGAGTCACCAGATGAACAGAATCAACAGTTTGAGTAAATTAATCTGTTGCCATCAGTGATCGTGCAGTTATTGGTGTTTTCGAGTCTGCTGTGATGAAAGTGCCCTTCTCTGTTGTCATGGTTACAGTATCAATGAGCTGGATCCATTTGCAGCTCATCAGAGGATTCGATCCTCCGTCATGACTCAAAATGACCAAAATAGACTTGAAATCATTTAATGAACCAAAACTTTCAGCACAGGTAGAATGAGCCAACATTTCACAACAAAAGTTAGATTTGTGTGGCTGGATGTGTGCGTCTTTGCTCCCATCAGCCACCTGGGCCCCAGGCTGGAAACCATTACAATAACTATCATCATTACAAACACGCCGCTGAAGTTTTGACTTCACAGGTCAAATGTAATCTACGACATCATTCTAATAACAGCAGCACAAGCTCCGCCTGCAGTCAGACGTCTGGACTGTTGGTAATGTACGAGGTTAGGCACAGGCGGGGATGTTGATGCAGGACTCGCTCTGGTCCTGCTGCTCGCCGTCGGGCAACGGGCCGCAGTTGACATTTGGTGTCCCATAAAATGAAGCTTTCTCCGACGAACGAGGAGGGAAAAGGCTGCAAACACACAAACACACGTTGTAGTATTCGCAGAACGGCAGTTTGACACTAGTTTCACTAAAAAACCGTCGTACTTGGATTTATTTCACTTTCAAAGCAACTGACGACCTGAACCCGGATAAGCCGGAGACCACGGCTGCAGGGGCAAACCTGTATTTTATTCACAGTAACGTGCAGAAAACATGTCAAATGTTCGAATCATCCAATTTTAATGCGCTGCTGCCTGACGGCCTGCAGATCACAGGTTGTTCCTCCAGATTAGCGGAGTTTGCAGAAATGTACTGCAGACGAGACATTCAGTTTTTTGCAGAAGCTTTTTTCTGGGATATTTTGCTGACATTAATATTTGTCATGAAATTTTAAAAGGTTTGTGGTAAGTTTTGTGTTCTGCCGTGAGCATTGTTTGGGTTTGGATCTCATGTTTTTCCTTCACACAGTGAAGTCGAACCGCGGTTGGAATCAAAAGATGACCAAAGTGTGTAAACCTGCTTCTTCTGCCCTCACCTGTTTTTAACAGAGCCGAGTGAACACTGAAGCGGTGAAAGTGAGTTAGTCTGACCAGCTCACGTGCACTTCAACCACAGCCAGCTACCATGCGTGACGCTTTGGCTTTTTGTTATTGCTCTTTTTTTAAATCTGCGTTTTAACAACGGCCTGTGCACAGGTGATATTAGCTCAGGTAGCATCTATTACCTAACATCCAAGATGCCCTGGAGCTCACAGCTGGTTAAACTGTGGCTGCGACTATGAAACAAGGCTTCAGACTTTAAGGTTCTCACTGTGATGTTAGAATCTTAGCTCCCGACTGGATTTTTAACTGTACGGCAGATTTGATTTGGTTTGCTGTGTCTTTGTTTTCCAGTCTGTAAACTGACTTGTAGCCGGTGTAATCAGGTTTGCAGATTCTCTTCCTGGACCGGACCGAGTTTTCGCCACAGGGTGGATCACAGAGACTCCACGGTGTCCAGGCCTCCCAGCGGCCGTTCACTGTAACACAAAAATGTGATGAGAAAGCAGCAACCTCCAAAAACTCCTGAAAACGAAGCCGGTGAGCCACCAGGACCTGCAGTTCCTCTACTGGCCAGCAGAGGCTCCAGCAGTGAGGCCACACCGGTCTCCCATGTTACTCTAACAGGTTCCGTTCGCCTTTCCAAACACGAGGTGTAGCTCATTCAGCCTTTCTTTAGAAAGTCAACATAATGTGTTGAAAGTTGAGGGACAGACTCACTGTTGCAGCCTTTGATG